TGAAGATATTGATAGAAGCAGTTTCTTTTTAACAACAGTCTATGCTGCAAATGATGAGGTAGAACGTAAGGCAACTTATGAGGACATAGCAAGGGTGAAAGTGGATGGTTATCCTTGGATTGTGGGGGGAGACTTCAATACAGTACGTGTACCAGCTGAAACATCAAATCTCTCCTGTGTGACCCAAAGTATGACTGATTTTAATGACTGGATAGGTACAATGGAGCTGCTGGATTATAGAATGACAGGGCCACAGTTCACTTGGACTAATAGGCAGCTGAATAATCCTATTGCCAAGAAACTTGATAGGGCTCTGGTCAATATTAAGTGGATAGAATCTTACAAGGACTGTGCAATGGAGGTCTTTCCTGCAGGGTTCACTAATCACTGTGGGGTTCAAGTCAATACTACATCCTCTGTTACTTCTTATCCAAAACCATTTAAATATTTTGAGTTTTGGGCTGAGCATCCGTTGTTTCTAGAGGTGGTTGAGACAGCCTGGGCAAAAAAGGTTGAGGGTACACCTATGCAGATAATACAAGGTAAATTGCGTGAAGTGAAACAAGCATTGAAAAAATTCAATAAAGTGGTATATGGGGAATTGCATAAACAAGTTGAAGAGGCTGCAGAGGAATTCAAGAGAGCACAAGTGTAGGCTCTCTCAGATCCTACAACTACTCATTTTGAAGCAGTCAAGGTATGTAAACAGAAATTGGATCAGATCAGTATGGCATATGAAAGTTTTTGTTGGCAGAAGTCTAGGGTTTCATGGTTGACAGTAGGAGATACAAGTTCAGCATTTTTTCATCAAGCTGTGAAGATAAGAAACTCAAAAAGAGCTATTAGAAGGCTAATTACTGAGGCTGGGGTAAAATTAACACAAACGGATCAAATAAGGGAGGAAGTCACTTCTTACTACAAAAGATTGTTGGGTACTGCAAATCAGGACATCAAACCTGTGAAGGAAGAAGTAGAGGAGTTAGTTCAGCAAAAGTTGTTAGGGGCAGATTGCTTGTTTTTAAACCGTTCCATTACACCTGAAGAAGTGAAGGAAGCTGTATTTGCTATGAGTCCACAAAAGGCCCCAGGGCCAGATGGGTTCTCTGCTGGCTTTTACAGGAGAACTTGGCATATCATAGGTGCTGATGTAATAAGAGGGGTGCTGCATTTCTTTCACACAGGTGCCATGCCCAGTGGTGTGAATTCCACTGCTGTTTCCTTGCTCCCTAAGGTACAAAATGCTGATACTTTAAAGAACTTCAGGCCAATATCTTGTGTGAATATACTGTATAAGATTGTGGCCAAAATACTTGCTAAGAGGATTAGAGAAGTGTTGCCAAAAGTTATAAGTGGTACTCAATCTGCATTCATAAAAGGGAGGAATATAATGGATAATATCTTGTTGGCACAAGAACTGGTTAGTGGATATCATAGGAAAGATCTGTCTTCACGATGTGCTATTAAAGTTGACATTATGAAAGCATTTGACTCGGTTAATTGGTCATATCTTTTCCTTATGATGGATTCTATGGGATTTCCGGATCAGTTTATGAAATGGATTAAAAGTTGTCTTCAAACAGCTCATTACAGTATAAATGTAAATGGTAGTCTGTGTGGTTTTTTTAGAGCAAGGAAGGGGGTCAGGCAGGGTGATCCATTATCACCCTACCTTTTCACTATAGCCATGGAAGGGCTCACTTCACTGTTAAAGAAGGCTGGACAAACAGGGGCAATTCCCTTTCATCCACAGTGTAGGAGGGTTTCTCTAAACCATGTATGTTTTGCAGATGATATTTTGGTTTTCACAGTTGGTTCTGCACAGGATATTTTGCAAGTTAAAGCGGTATTACAACATTTTTATAAGATATCAGGTCTGAATAGCAATCCAGCAAAGTGTGAGATTTATTTTGGTGGGGAATCAGTGATTTACAAAAGGAATGCATTGAATCTTTCTGGTTTCCAGGAGGGACAGCTCCCTGTTAGGTATCTGGGATTACCATTGATAACTGGCAAACTATCCTCAAAAGAAATTGATACTTTAGTGGATAAACTAACAAAGAAGATGAAGTCCTGGAGGGCAAAGAAGTTAACATATGCGGGTAGACTACAATTACTTAGTACTGTGTTGCTAGGTATTGTTAATTACTGGATGCAATTATTTGTACTGCCTAAACAAGTTTTCAAACGAATCCAGCAGGTATGTTCACAATTCCTTTGGCATGGGATTGATGAGGGCAGAGCTAAAGTAGCTTGGAAGTTCATTGCTCTTCCTAAAAAAGAGGGGGGATTGGGAGTAAAAGATTTAGTGAGTTGGAATCAGGCTTGCACTATTAGACTGCTTTGGCTATTTCTGTTGAATTCTGGAACCTTATGGGTAGCCTGGATGCATGCATATAAATGTAAGCAGAGGGATCTATGGACAATGAAGATTTCCTACACTAGTTCCTGGACGTGGAGAAGATTGTTGAAGTTAAGATCTTTGATTCAAAGCTGGTTACACAAACACAATAATGATATTTACTGGGGGACAAAGTTGATGAAGAAATACTCAGTGCGTCAGGTTTGGGAAACAATAAGAAACATGGAGGCTGAGGTACCTTGGTATAAGTTGGTGTGGTGTAAACCCTATCCATTGAGGTACAGTTTCTTGACATGGCTTATACTTAGAAATTCTATTACTACTCGTGACAAGTTGTTGAGATGGGGGAAGATTACTGATGCTTCCTGCTTGTTATGTGGAGGGGCTGCAGAATCAAGAGAGCATTTGTTTTTACAATGCTTGTATATGCAACAGGTTTCCTCTGCTTTCAGTTCCACTCTATTTCACTATGGTGATTGGGATGAAATGTTGAATGGTATGATAACTATAGTAAGCAGGGACTCACAGCTGGGGCGATGGCATGCTATGATCTGGTGTTTTATTGTGTCTTTTGTGTGGAAGGAAAGATGTGCTGTAGTTCATGGATCGGTATGCAAACCTCCTGCGAAGCTAGCTGCAATGCTGAGGGAGGAAGTAAATTACATAGTTACTACTCACGCAGAGTCAAAGGCTGAATTAGAAGGGTTGGGGTATATCTAGTTTGAATTTCCTTATATTCTTAGTTTGATTTTCCTTTCTGTAAGTAAGAGGGTTATATGAGTGGAGAGAGTTAGAAGAGACAGCTGTTTTGTTTTCCTTTTTGAGTCTTCATGACTCTCCTCGTTGTATTGGTTCCTTTTCTTTAAATATAAAGAGGCTGATTCAACAGAAAAAAAAATGTTAGACTTCAACATTATAAATGACGTCAAAATTTTAATAAAGATATTAAAAACTAATATTGATTGATCAAGTCACTGATAAGGAAATAGATTTTTGTAATAAAAAATATTAATAATATTCAGATGCAATGTTTAATGTCAAATAGCACTAAAATGCATTAATAAGTAACATGTGTTTAATGGATAATGCATCCAAAAACTTTAATAATGATAGCAACTAATGATTTTTAAGTACCTTATTAGATATTATTAATATCTTATTTTTCAAACATTGATAATGCTTATACACACCTATTAATAATGACACCAACTATGTTACTAACTTAGACTGAAAGATTAATAACCATAGTTATCACATTAAACGTAAATTCACTTTTGATAATGCCATAAACAAACGAATACCTAACAAGTATGCTTCTTGATAATGACATTTGAAAAAGTTACAAACATAAATGAAAACATATTAATAATTCAAATCACTTAACATAAGCAATCTTACAAATGAAATAAATTTTTGCTAATGGTTGTATTGTGCTTGGAAGAAAAACATTGATAATAGCACTTTAAATGATTATAAATCATAGCGAACCAAATTGATAATATGATGTAATAGTAAATAAACTTCAAGGTTCAACAAATTGAAACACACAATTTCACTTTTGCTAATGTTACAAACAAAACATAACATAAAAAGTTAATAATGTCATATAAAATTATTAAAAAACATGTCGAACAACATTAATAATACCACAAATGAATACCTAACAACGAAAAATCCCAAACCCATGCAACAAAAAGCCCTAATGATGATTCAATTTATAAATATTGATAATGCCATTACAAAATGTTAATACTTAATACTAATCGGAAGTTGCCAAGATGTGAAAGAGGCATATATTTTAAATATCAGATTTCCATTTTAGATAAAGAAAACTATTAAATTCGGATTTTATTAATATTAAATAAAATTAATTTCATATATTTTTTTAATTATAATGTAGAAAGGGGGTTATGGAGAAAATCATGGGAGGAGAGAGAAAGAGAATCATTAATTAATTATATTAATTATATTTGCATAACCCCATTTACCCTTAACTACCTATTAACTATTAACCATTATTAACTACCTAATCGACTATCAGCCAATCGGAAGGCTTTAAGATTCTCGTTAAAAAATGAGGTTTAAGGACTTGAACTCAAGCCGTCGAAGAGAATATCGATTGGATTTAGGGTAGTAATTAGACGGGGTAATTAATAGATAATTAGACGGAAGGGTATATTTGTTACGTTTTGATATTAGAAAGGTATCTGTGTGCAAAAATTTAATAGAGGGGTACGTTTGTTAATTTGTAATAGTAGAAGTGTATAAAGTGCTATTAACCCTATTTATTAAGGAATTTACTCATTTTATAAAGCATGTTAGTTTACTTATTTTACTCAAGACTGCAAAAGCTAACAAAAACTAAAAACAAACAAGCCAAGAGCACAACATACATCAGAATCTTTTTATTTTTATTTTCGAGTGATATAAAAAAAGAACAAAAGTTGTAAAAACAAAACTACTCAGTAGCTCCCTATAAGAGACATTTTGGTGAACCCACCCAATAAAGTCGAAAGATTCTACCTATAGGAGAAACAATAGCATTGCTTTACGCGCCACTTTATGGGAAGCACTGTTGACGGCTCTAGAACCACCACAAACTCTATATAGATTGACAAAGAGTATAGGATCTGACGACACTCCCGGAGCACCGGACCTCCAAAGGAATCTTCTAGGACACATTGCCAGATCTTGTTGATGTACACCTCGGAATCACCTTCCACTATCACGTAAGTCAAGGATCTTGAGGCGACGATGGTGATAACACCTCTTACTGCTAAGAGCTCTGCTAGGTAGTGGTTGACTACTCCCTAGTGACGTCTCCCGGTTGCCAACACCACATGCCGTTTGACCCGTGAATAGTAAAACCAGACGAGCATCCTGAGTCACGAACAGCTGCATCGAAGTTGATCTTCAAATAGTCGTCTGGTGGAGGCTCCCAAGTTGCGGGAGGAGGATTTGGTAGGAACAATCTAGGGGGTGGAGAAGGGTGTGAATATGAGAGACTTCAAGGGCCTGATTGTATAATTGTCTGGCGAGGGAATGAACATGAGGTTGGTAGAATTCAAAAGTCACTTTGGCCCCATTTGGATGAGTAATTTTAAAACGAGGGATTTGATGGTCAAATCTCCCGAATAAAAACCTAGGAATTTCAAACGCAGGATTTAGCTCAATTCTTTGTTTGGGAACAGATTAGAGATTTTAATCCAGTTTTATCCAATCACACCTTTATCCTTCTCTTTTTCTTCGTTCCTTCAACCCATCCTCATTCCTTCACACAGGAATCATCAAAGGGCAGAGCTGCAGGAGCTTAGAATTGGCCGGTGATTCCCACAGCTCGATTGGATATGATTGGCGATGATTGTGGCTCTGGATTGCAGGAACTATAGTTAGAAAGATGATGTTCCTGGACGCCGCCGATTCATCTTCTGATGGGCTGTCGGCATCTGCGCTTCAGAGAGGGAGGTGAGGCAACGACGAAGCATATGAGCCTGTGAGTGTGGAGAGACGAGGCGGGACTGAGCGACGCCGAGAAGAAGGAAGGTGAGGCGAGCAGAGCTTTTTCTCGGAAAGAAGTAAGGGTTCGTTGAACAGGGATGGGAGGGTGGCAACGAAGCAAAACCGCCAGCATCCTTGAGAAGGAAGGGTCGACGTCGGCCAGATCCAGATTTCCTCCGCAGCCGACATCCAATTTTGTTTGTTCGATTTCGTTTCAGTTGTGTCAATTTCCTCCCACACAAGCGCCTGCTACTACCTTCTCGACATCGGCGGCTATGTTGCCTTCTCATATGACGATGCAATTTGAACGGAAAGACGTGGTCGGAGTAAGGGCCAGATTTGACAAACTACGGCGATCGATGATAACTGTTGGTGGTCGACGAGAATGGTTGAACGAGACTGCGATTGCGGTGGTGGGATGAGAAAAGGAAAAAGAAAGGTTCGAAGGATGATGGTAAGGGTTGGAAAAAATGGAATAAAAATGAGTGATTTGGAAATAGCTGATAGCCATCAGCTATTTCAAAAACCCTTGATTGAGAGTTTTTAAAATCTCTAATCTTATAATTCCTCATCTCTTCCAAATGAGTTATTGTATTAAAATCTTGGAGAATGAGAGATTTGGGTGAAATCCCTCAGCCAAAACTCTAATCCAAACGACCCCTTTATTTATAGACTTCTAGATTCTCCAAAGCAAACAGACGCATTGGAGAATATGGGATGGGGAGATCTCAGAGGTCATGACATGTCGCCACCATAGACTAAAATTAGCAGCCGGAGCGGAATCATTGAAGTTGCTCAATCCACTAAGGTGCACAACTCGATGGTTTGGGGGCATTTGAAGAGTAAGTGTCTAATGCTCTCTTGGTGTCGCAAGCACATGGAACATTGATTGAGACAGTTAACTCCACGAGTTTATAGAATTACAACTATGGGAAGAATGACCTTGAGGTATTGCCATATGAAGAATTTAAAGTTAGGTAGGACTTGGATCTTCCAAGTATTTTTCCAAGAAAAAAAAAAATAGAATACCAAGTACCAAATCCAGAACTCCTAAATAAGTTATCTACCAAGCACATTGAGCATCATTTGTATTTGGCGTAGCAGTTCTTCTTTTGCCTCCAAATTTCACTGTACACCTCTCTCTCCAAATGGTACTCAATAGTCCACGCCATAAAAGTCTACCAGCTTGGACAACAACAGTGTTCCTTTACAGTGACAATTTGTCCATTGTAGTTCCTTATCCCAAACATCAATTGGAGCTCTCAAAGTGAATTAGGAGAACAACCTGCCAAATTTATATTTTTTCAAGGACAAGCAGCATAGAGATGAGTCCTTGATGCCACAAGACAAGATGATAGTTCACGTTGTAGGGATTTTTCCAATAATAGCACCTTTAAAAAAAATTACAAAACTAGCACCCATCTGAAAAAATTGACAGAAATAGCACCAATTTTATTGGAACGCACCTTAGGGGTGCGTTCCAAGCCAGGTCAGAATACGAAACGCACTAGGAAGGTGCGGTTTCAAGATTTTGCGGAACGGTCTTCAAGACCGTTGGATGGAGGAGCAATCGGAGGGCTGAACGCGCGCCAGCGGAGCGATCCGCGCCACGGATCGGGGAACACATCCCCGAGATGCGGTCAAAGCTGGGGAAGCGCAAATCGCCTCGGGAGGGCGCGGTTTCTCTTTGGGCAAAATTACCCGACCGCCTCTGGAGGGTGCGGTCTGTTGGGTATAAATACCCCCCTTCCCCTCTCATATCTTCACACCACAACCCATTCTTCCTTCTCTCTCTAGAATTTATCTCTCTAAACCCTCCCCTCCCAAAAGCCTAGGAAATAGTGGTCTGTTGGTTGCGGCTAAGTCCGATCTGCCATCAGAAAACATTTCTTAGGTTTTTTCCTCAAAACCCGCCGAGCCGAATCTCTGTCCGAATTTTGGTTTTTTCCTCAAAACCCGCCGAGCCGAGCCGAATCTCTGTCCGAATTTGCCGAAAAAATTGCCGATTGGTGGCAAGGAGAGGGAGTTTATGTTGATGAATTTCAAGCGGTACGTACTCATTATTCTGGTTTAATTTTTGTTGTTGTTATAAGCTTTTTAATTAATATATGTACTAACCTTGTTGTTATTTTCTCGTAGGTTGGGGAGGACGTGGATATATACAACCAATGGTATTATCTCGAGCAAGGACCGTTGGATCCAACTGACTTGTACGACCAACCCAACCATCGGTCAAGAGATGTTTGGAATGCTCACCTGGTACATACAATTCTTTACCATTTGTCCTTCTTTTATTTTGTTAATGTATTTAGTGGAATATAAAATAAATTTATGTTGAATCTTTAATCGTGTTTGTTGTTTTCAATAATTTAATCGAATACATAGCGCCATTTACTTCGACTCTTTATAAAGAGATGCACGTCTAAGGAAATGGGGTTTTAAGCGATTATCATATCCTCTCATTCCCTGGGAAAATCGGGTATTAAGAGATCCTCGGATCCCCCCTTTTTCTGTCAAAAAGATTGCGTTTCTAAGAAGATGTATACCTCTTCTAAGAGTCTAACGAGTGTTGCTTTGTATTCGATTAAATTATTTAAAACAACCAATACGATTAAATTATTTACCAAACAACCAATACGATTTATTTTTATGTGTACAAAATGAATTTTATTAATTTCAAACATTTGAATATGTATGTTTCTCTTTAAATTATTATTCATTAACAATGTCATTTATTTTAGTTAATTTAGTATGTTTGTTTTACGATAATATGTATGTATCTCTTTAAATTATTATTCATTTAGAATGTTATTAAGTTAATTAATTTAGGATGTTTGGTTTATGATAATATGTATGTATCTCTTTAAATTATTATTAATTTAGAATGTTATTATGTTAATTATATGAAATGTCTTTTTATGATAATAAAATTCTGCTTGAAGTTAAATAATTTAATTTAATTAATTTAGTTATAAGGAAAAAAAACCCTTACTAATATATAATAATTAACGTGTAAATTTTTCCTAGGAGGCACAAACAATAATCCGCTACATGGGTACGACCAATGTGCTCCCATTCCACCCAGCTATCTTGCCCTTTCTCAAAAGGGCACGGTTGGACCCGATTAGGCATTTTAACGGCATCAAAGTTGATCGCCAACTCATCACCACATTAGTTGAGAGATGGAGAAAGGAGACCCATTGTTTCAACTTTAGAGAAGGAGAGGCCACCATCACGCTAAAGGATGTCGCCATCCTAACCCATCTGCCCATCGACGACAAACCGGTGTGCGTGAGTGATCATCCCCCCGAGGATTGTGACGGTATGCCCGGTTGGGTTCATTTAATCCACAGTGTTTTGGGAGTGAATGTACCAGTGAAGGGGTGCGTTGATGCGACCGATCGCATGCCACCAATGAGGAAACACCAAGTCTCAATTACTTGGTTGACGAAGTATTTTAGAGACCATTACGAGAGTCATCCCCTAACCGAGGAAAGTCCGGAGGATGAGAAGGAGAGATATGCTCGGGTCTATCTCATAGGCATGATCGAAGGAGTGTTCTTCTCCAAAAAATCAAGCAATCTCCTTAGTTGTAGATGGCTTAGGATCATCCTCGGTAGTTGGGAGGAGATGGGGGAGAATAGCTGGGCATCCGCTTGCCTAGCTAATATCTACCACAACTTGTGCAATGCGTCTCTAAAAGCTGTGAGGGAGTTCAGCGGCGCAATGTTCATCGTCCAATTTTGGGCTTGGGAGCATATGCCATGGATTGCACCGGTACAACGTCCCAACAGGGATTGGCCAATCGATCATCCCCTAAGAGGGGAAGCTTATGGTACAAGGTAAACTTCTCATACCCCATCATGTTTTTTCATAACACATTTTCCCTTGTGTTTTAGCTTATTGTAGTTTCATTATTGTCTTATTAATAAGGTGTGAAGATAAGTGGTTTTCTGGGAGGCCTTTTATAGGCAAAATCACTGATGAAAACCGCACCTTAGAGGTGCGGTTTTCGTCTGCCATACAGGCCCATGCAGACCCACGTCTGTTACGTCTGTTATTCTGCATGGCTTGTCGGAAATTGATTGACCAAAACCGCACCTCCAAGGTGCGGTTTGTATGGCAAAATCGCACCTTGGGGGTGCGGTTTTGTTTGGGAGAAACAAACCGCACCTTCATGATGCGATTTTGATAGGTTAGGCCAAAACCGCACCTCGGCCAAACGGTTTCTGTAGGTCAGACCTAATACCGCTTGTTGAAGATGCGGTTTTGGTCCAGGAATATGGAACGCACCTTAGAGGTGCGGTTTATGTGTAAAACGCACCCTTAGGGTGCGGTTTAAATATAAAACGCACCTCTAAGGTGCGGTCTATTAAAAAGGGTGCTATTTGTGTAAATTTTTTCGGATGGGTGCTATTTTTGTAATTTTTTTTAAAAGGTGCTATTTCTGGAAAAATCCCCACGTTGTAGCGTAGTGACAAATTTACTGGGCATACGAGGAATGTTCAAATCGTATTCACCCAGAGTTTCTAATGATCGACTATTCAAAGTATTTGGATATGGCAAAAAGATTACTATGAACCACGACATAACACAACTAAAAATAAAAAAAATGCAGAAAGTAACAGGATGGGCGAGAAGAGATTGTTCAGATCATGTTGCCCCTAGGTTTGATGGACTGATATGTTATATGTCACGGCGTTTACCCGATCTGATAGGCAACATGGACACTGGAGATCTCTCCTTTGAGGTTTCACACGATTTAATCGATTAAGAATCGATCATAAGCGTTGGCCTTATCCGGTCTCACCCATCTCAAAATCATGTTTCGAAAGCTGCACCACAAAGGGATGCAATTTTAGTCTACTACACTATTAATCAACAAGAACCGATGTTGGAACATCAATCACATTCATTTAACAAAATCAATCCACCTCCCTAGGGTTCTATATTATCTTGGGCTAATACCAATAGGAAATACGAACTATAAAGAATGTGTCATTTGTATCCTAAAGTATTCAATATGACATTTGTGTCCTGACGTATGATAGTTGTGAGTCATTTATGTCCTAACAATTTTGTTGACCGCTATAGATAACGGTTGACCAAACGATCAACCATAAAATGTTGACTGTTGGTTACATGGCACATATGTGGCAGCCACGTATGCTTCACGTCACCTACCACATCAGGTTGCTATTTTTAAATGAAAATTAATAATTAAAATACAAAGGAAAACTTAAATTGAGAAAATAAATCTTAGCACCCGCTGCATCTTCGCCAGAGCACCCCCTGCATCCCTAACCCTGGGTTTCGAATTTTGCAGATCTTCTCCGGCTACCTCGCTCCAATCGACGTCGTCTTCTTTGGTCCATCTCCCAGCTCCAATCGATGTCTTCTCCAATGACGTTTCCAGCTCCAGATGTTGTCTGTACCGGTTGCCGAGGAAGAGGTGGAGGAAAGCTTGAACCCCTTCCAAATCGCCAACGAGGAGGCGGTGGGAAGCTCGAACCCCTTCCAAATCGTCGATGGAAACCTGTATAGCCAAAACCATCTCCGAAACTGCCATATTCGAATTTTTCGTCGCTGTAGCTCTAATTTCAACACCATCGTTTCTGGGTTTCATTGAATCTGGGTTTCCGCTTGCGCTATATGGAGAATCGGGAGAAAAAGGGGGAATCGAGAGTGGGGAATTTCAAAAAGAGAATAGAAATATCTATCTCTTCGTCACAATATCAGCCCTAGGAAGGAACCCAAATATGGGATTGAGGCAATGTAAGGGAGGAAAGAGGGCAGAATATGAGAAAGGAAGAATCCGGTCGAGAGAATTTGCGCCGTGTTGGCGTTGCTAGGAAGCCTAGGCTGCGTGAGCCCTGAAATTGCCTTGTGAACTCCGTGAGAAACGATCGGGTCAAGCAAATGGTGTGGAGCGGCGCTTGGATATTGGGTTTTCTGGAACCGCCGTCGGATAGGAGTGGTATGTGTGGGTGATTTATTTTGGCATGTTCGGTGAAGATGTGAAGGAAGAAGAGCAGCCTCTTCAGTTGATAGGGAGAGATACAGAACTCTGGTCGCGAAGGGAAAGAACTATGCTGGAAGAAGAAATCAGTGAGGCGGGTTTGGAGGCGGCTCCGACCTAAACGGAGGAGGGCGGCGGTCGTCATTTGTCGGACTGTTGGTCGTGCGTAGAGGAAAGAGAAGAGACAGGTTGCGATGGATCTGAGGGATTGGAATCTTTGGGGTCCGTTCTTCTTCACCATTTCCCTGGAGATGCAGATCTACAAATATGAGTTTTTGTTTTTTAATTTTTGTTTTAATTTTTTTATTTGTCTATTCATTTTTTGTGGAAAGATAAATAATAAAATTCCACGTGAGATGCAACATTAGCCCTAACAAGATTTTGGTTAAAAACTAACGGTCAATGTCGGTCAACTCTAATTAAAAAGTAGTTTAGGACATAAATGTCATATTGCATACTTTATAACATAAATAACACATTGTTAATAGTTCGGGTTTCCTAGTGGTATTAGCCCTATTATCTTAACAAACTAAAATTTAGTTATCCATGAAAACAGAATAATTCACAAGTGTAAAAGGGACAAGGGTCACCATAGTGATTTCCCCTTTCTCATTTTCACTCGCTATTTCTTCGTGCCTTGAGAAGCTCTTCTGGTCATATTTCGTGGCTAACCCTAGGAGGGACTCAAAAAGGTGAAAGATTTCTATTACTTCTCGAGAATTGAGTTTTATACCTGGCTTCTGAAACGCAATGGTTTTAGTCAACCAAAATGTAAGATGACGCCCATGCCGCCAATTAGGGATGACAAAAATATCCGTAACCGTGGATATCCACCCGAATCCGACCTAATCGGGTAGGGTAAAAATCAAACCCGAAGCATTTTTAGTGGGTACGGGTAAAACCCGAACCCGAAATTGCGGGTAATGGGTGGACATGGTTATCTAACTATCCAATCCAAACCCGCCCGATTATACACATGCATATGTAATTTGTCTAGAAATAATCGTTATGTTTCTCTAGAATATTTTATATTTAGCATATAAATATAATATTCTCATGAAATTATGTTGTTTTAAATAATTTTTGTCATTCTAGTGACTTATTGTCGTACTTTTCCTCTTACGTAATGTGAGTATACGTGTGAATGTTAACATATTGGTTGGAATTATAAGGAGAAATTATTACCCATGGATAACCGTGGATACCCGAAACCCGAACGTGTATGAGCATGGTTTTGATTTTCTACCCGTTTCTCGTGTGGGTACGGGTATGGTTAAACCCGAACTACATTGAGTAGGGTAACATATATGCACTATCCGCCCCCGAGCCGACCCATAGCCATCCCTGCCGCCAATATACATTTTTTCTCCCCAGTATGCGTTTCAGGATTTTGAGGCTTTCTCCTTATTTTGGACCGTAGAATTGCCAAAACTATAGGTGTCAAAGTGAACCCGCCGGGTTGAAGCGGGTTGCACTTTTTGGTCTTTTCCTATTTTAGTTTTTGTTTCTGTATTTTTATGTTTGGGTCGATTGGCTCTGATACCAATAATTCTACGGTTCCAAATTCCTAAATTTCTTTGTTTCATACCAAAAGGTCTTGTTTTTTCAAAAGTCTCAATCGTCTCTTTATTTTTAAAAAGTCTACTAAAGAAGCTAATCATTCTTTCTTTTCCTTGTTTTCTGCAACAAGTCTCATTCTTTCTTTTTCTTTCATGGAATGGCCCAAATAAAGGTGGTTAATTTTCATTTTGTTGTTTTTGGTTTATCTATTTTCTAGTTTCTGCTTTATTTTGTTTAGACTAGTTATTATATCGGTAATTAATTCAGTTTTAGATACGGCTTCCTCTAATGTTTTTGAATTTCCGATAGACATCCGTTCTTCTACAATATATGATACGAAGTGAGATAATTCTAACGTAACCGTATTAATGTCGCTTAATGATGTAAGATCTATTGCATCTATTCCTTCTATCAATTTATTTATGTAATGAGTGTTAGGCATCTTTACAATTTTTCACTCATTTCTACGATTAGTTCTTGTAACTTTTTTATTTCACTAGTATTATCATTTTGATGAAGTATAGTTATGTTTTTTATTTCCTTGTTTTCTTCTTTCTCCATTTCCTTTTGCTTATCGGTTAATCTCATGGAAGAACTTCTCTCATCTATACTTATTCTTGGATGATCATAATTTGATTTTATTATTTTTAGAGGGGATTCTAATTGAATTAATGGTTTGAATAAATCTTCTATGGTGATGGCTTCCTTATCTTTAAACGCTAGAATATGATGACTATTGGTCAGTGCATAGTTTATTTGGTATGTTACCGAAAAAGGTTTATTGTTTTCTTTCATGAAATTTTTTCTTTTCAATTCATACTTTATAATAATGGAAGAGTCGAGATTCCCATCTGTTAAACTAATTCCTTGTTGTAGATTTATATCGAATTTGATTATTCCTACTCCTAGATTTCCCTTCCCTTTTGCAATAATAATCTCTTCTCTATTGATGAGTCGATCATCTCTTATTTCTAGTTCTATAGGTGCACTTATCCCTGTTTTCATAGTAGATTTTAGAATGATTTGTATCGTACTAATGTGAATATAAGTTATTTTCTTTCTTTCTTCCTGTTGTAACTTGGATAATTTTTTCCTAATTTGTTCCCTATTTATTATTTGAATTAGGAAATCTCCCTTAGTTTGTTCTATTGGTACTGCCGTTTCTCCTATTATTTTTCCATATTTAATTATATTTTTCTATCAAATAGTTTGGATAAAAAAGACTTAGTAATAAAATTTTGCGTTTCTGATAAGGTAAACTTAGTTTGTTCCTTAATTTTCTTGACATCTAATATTCCATCTAGAAAATAATTTTCTTCCTCATTTTTACTTAAATAATCAAAGTAACTGTTACTGCTACTGGGGTTATCCGACATACCTGATTGTTGCTTAGGTTGATTGATGCAACTTCTTGCTACTGAACGTCCCCATGATGGTGTAGTGCGAGGGAGGCTGATTGCTTATGATCGTTGAAAATGGTGTTGGAGAATTCTTTGTGGTGTTAATGGTTGGTGTATAGTTTTTTTTTATGGATAGGTGGTAGTGGATATGAGCGTCTCCAGAGTATTATCTCAAACGCTCTGTGCCGAAGCACCAAGACTACACTTAGACTTTTGAGAGAGAAATCTCAAACTTTTATTCTACTCTGCCCCCTTATGAATTTCAGATGTACATATTTATAGATGCAGGGGCTTTGCCTGCTTACATGTGTGCTTACATCATTCTCCACTTAAAAGAGAAAGCAAACACACTGTACACACATTTTTGCCTTATGGGCTACATTATTGATCAGAAAAAGAAAGAAGAATCTTTAGTCACTTTCTTTGTTTGATTCCTGAAGTGTGGTCTTCTTCTTCTTGGTTGATGTTGCCTTTTCTTTGTTTGATTCCTGAAGCATTGTCTTCTTCCCCATGGTGGATTACATTTCTTTGATTTCATCATTGCTACTAGTGGAGGTAGTCATATCTGCTGCACAGTGGGTGCATATGTGATCCTCGTGTAGCTATAATAATTCACAAAGTTGTTGTTTTTGTTCTGACGTTATCGGGGCTAACGTTCCTTCTAGATTGATAAAATCCTTGGCTAGATCTGTGATGAATCCCCATTCTTCCGCTGTGATCTGATTTTTAGAATTGCTGATGATGATCTTGTTGGTGCTGGTATAATTGACTTTAATATTATCTGTTGGGTTAAGATAATATAGGGCCTGACTTACTGAATATAATGATTTGACTTGATAGTCCTCTGGTATCCTGGCTGTCTCTAATTCATCTCTGGTTGGATAGTTGCCATTAGATACTCCCATTTTGATGATTGCTTTTGATGGCACGACCATTTCTTCCTTGTTGAATATTGGATAGCTAGATGTGTATCGTAGATAGATTTGTCTACCCTTGGCGAATGAGTCTAGATACCTTTTTACGACTATCTTGAACTTTGTTGGGAATTCTTCGAAGATATGAGTCTTCTGTGTGTATATTGTGTCGATTAATCCATATTGATGGAGAGCAAATAGTGTTGTTGCTGCGATTTTATCTGTGATGATGACTGCTCTTGGACCTCCCTTAAAGGTTGGATAGAAGCCCATGGTAGTATGAATTTCCTTGTAATTGAGAAGATCCTCCCAGCATAGTTGGAATTTTTGAAGTGTAGGTCTATTGATTTCTTCCTTTTGCTTCGTGGTTGGAATATCCTTAATACTGATGCTTGGTATCTTCATCACTAATCTTTGTTGTGGAGTAGCTGACTCTGTCTTTTGTTTCATAGCAATTGCCTTGTATGATTCTCTTAATGCCTGCTCTGCTTCTTCTTTGGTTGAAAATGATTGGTGTTTGATGGTGTATCCCGTAACATGGTGAGATACTATTGCCCAGTTGTTATAGAGTCCTCGAAAAGGTCTATCGTAAAGGACATACCATTTTCCCTTTTTTGATTTTCTTTCGTCTTCTTCGTTTTTCTCGTCTTCTTCCACCATGTCTGCCCATTTTGTAGGTGGTAGCTGATTAGTTTGTTGTTGCAGAATAGTTTGTGATTGAGCAGTGCTTTTAGTTTGTGTTTGCAGAATGGTGATGGTGGTTTTTATCTGCTCCAATTCCCCCCGCCTTTGAGAAAGCTGAACTCAAGGGTACGTATCTGCTCTTCTTTCTGCTGTTGCTGATGCTGCATTTGCTTGATTATTCCTTCCATTCCCTTGTAAGGGTGTCTGCTAACGGATTGGCTGTTGACTTGATATACTTCAGATATGGTTGATAATAGTGAAGTTGTTGTTGCCAACGAATGAGTCTTCCTTTATTGAAGTCTGCATCCAGCTTGTATCTCCAAAATCCTGTAACATATTTAGAGTCGGTTCGTAGTTCGAATCGACTGGTTAGTAATTCTATTTTCCATTTTTTTAGTGTTCTAAGACAAGCTAGTGTCTCTAGCTCATGTATTGGGTAGTTTCTCTCAGTAAAAGAGAATGTTCCAGATATATATTTACATAACTTCCTTGGATATTTGTCTGTATTGAATGGTATTGTATAGTCATATTGTTTCGAATCATTTGATTCCTTACTGCGTCGAGATAGTGGTGAATCGTTCGATTCATTACTGATATGGTGTGAATCATTCGATTCATTACTGAGTATATTGCCATAGTGATCAAGTGATAGTAACTTTTTGCCTTCTGGTATTGCAAGCATGCAACCTGCCCATGTATCCTTTGATGCATCTGTCTCAACAATAAGAAAATCTCGATCGCATGGGTTATATAATTTTGGTAAATGATCACAACTGGCCTTCATGAATCTTACCATCTCTGTATCCTTATTATCCCATTTCCAAGGTATTTTATCTGATATCTTTTGCTGAAGGTATTTTCTTTCCTTCGCTAAATTTTTTAGAAATCCTTGCTCACTGATGTAATTCAGACTTCCTAAAAATCATTGTATTTGTTTTCTATTTTCCATTTTATATGGAAATTTATCGAATTTCTCCTTAACATTAGTGGTTAGTTCTATTTCTCCTGTACTATTTATTTTCATTCCCAAATATTCAATTTCATTGACTAACAATTTAGATTTCTTTTTTGAAATTACCAGTCCTTTTTTTTAGTCTTTCCAAAACTTTTATTAGTTTTTCTTCATGATCTATCCTATCTTTATTTGAAAAGATAATAATATCATCAATGTATGCTAAACAAAAATCTCCCAATCCTTCTAGATTTTTATCCTGATAAATTCCTGGGGCTTGCTTAATTCCAAATGGTAACACATTCCATTCATAATGTTTTTGTGGTGGACATGAAAAAGCTGTTAAGGATTTTGTATTTTCATGGAGCCTTAATTGCCAATATCCTGATTTAGCGTCTAGGCTACTGAACCAAGTTTGTTCTTTCAATCGTTCCAGAATATAATCTTTTCTTGGTAATTTATAATTGTCTCCTATAGTGTGTTCATTGAGTTTTTTGTAATTTATTACCATACGTCTTTTTCCCCTTTTAATTTCATTATTATTTTTTACATAGAATGCCGGAGCACTATGCAGACTTTTACTTTCTCGAATAATATTTTTACTGAGTAAATCTCCACATTCTACTAGAAATTCTTCTACATCTCTTTGAGTATTGTATTTTATTAGGGACATTAACTTCGATATTTGGATCTTTTAGTTTAATTTCTATTAATTTTGAATTTGTATTTTTTATATTATCTAAAGGGTGTTCACTACAGACTTCCTCTAGTTTTTCTTCAACTATTCCGTAGGCTACTTGGATATATTCAAGCTTATTTTTAAGTCTTTGTAAGACAGTCCATAATACTGATCTTGAAACTTTCAATAGTTTTTCCTTTGTCTTTTATTTGTAATATGATCATATTTCAATGAAATATTACCAGAAGAAAATCTTAAAGAAACAATAATAACACTACAGGAAATAATATTAAAATTAGATAACACGAGATATCTTACTATTGAAGATATGAAAAAAAAATTAAAGGATCATAAAAACCCTGGAAAACTCATAATTATCGAACCTTACCTAATATGACAACTATTGATGAGAATATAAATAAATTAAATAATTTACTAATGGCCTTAAGTATTGAATCAGATAACGAAGACCACATTGAAAATGATAAAGTAGTACTAGACTATAGTAGTGATGAAAATCCATATACAAATTATATGAAAACAGAAAATAACCCAGGCGAAACATCCAACCCAATTCCATCTAAATCAAATAAAAGACGATTTAATGATTATAATGACGGTCAAATGAATTTTGACGAATATCTTTATAAAAATCATTTCGCTCCTCGTAGGGGGGAGAATGAACGAAAATTCCTCACTCATACATTCCTAAATACTCTACAACAAGTTATAATAGTTCAGATATTCTAGATTTAGACTGTAGTACTAATCCATTAAAAGAATTAGAAGACTGGAAAAATCGAACAGGATTATTAATTCAAACTAACGAGGAATTAAGGAAACTTCAACCTAGTGAAATATTTAATTTCTTAATATACAAAACCACTAGAGCAGTTTATCACTATTTAAGTGCAATGGATATTCCTGCAAAAACAACCCTATATGGAAATGACACTATAAAAACTTTTGAAAAAATATTAAATGTTTTAACCTATGAATTTCTAGGAAGATATCAAAGGGAAAAAAGAAACTAATGCAACTCTGAGTAATCAGGCTATTTGGCACCTAACAAACTTAAGGATCTGCAATATGTGTTATTTAGAATCATTATTTGCGAATTTAAGATACATTATTATCAGGTTATTCCGTCAGTAAGAAAATACTCAGATAAATTATTCTTTTCTAAACTTCCTTTAATAGTAGCACAAAAAGTAGAAACTGCTTTTAATAAAGCAGTTCAAAAGGAAGAAGTACCAGATACATTAGGAGGACGAATTCTAACATTACAGGAATGGCATAAACGAGCCTGTAATGAAGAAAAACTGAAAAAGCAAGCTAAAATTGACCTCTGCTGTGAGGCCTCCACCGATAAAATCGGAAAATACGGATGTAGTGATGAACGACCAAAAATAAAGAAAAAACGGAGATACGAAAAATATAAAAAATGGCGAAAGATACCCTATAAGGAATATAGAAAAAATAGATATAGAAACCCTAATAAGTATTTTATAAACAGAAAACAATTTAAACAGAAAACTAGTCAGAAAGATTATTGTCCTAAAGGCAAAACTAATTGCAAATGGTGGCTCTGCAATGAAGAAGGACATTATGCTAATAAATGCACCAAAGAAAAACACTAATAATAAGAAGCAGGAAGTTCTAAGGATAGCATACGATTGTGGATTCGAACCTATAGAAGAAACAGATTTTGAACTATCAAACATAAAAATTATTGAATATCTTACAGATTTAGAAATATTTTTAGATGAGTCAGAAGAAGTTTCTAGCTAAAAATAACCCGAACGCAACATTCATAAAAGTTACTATTGAAAATAAGAATCTTCTGGCATATATAGACACAGGAGCAACACTTTGTTTTGCAAAAAGATCGACCATTAGAGGTTGGGATAAATTAGATAAACCATTAAAAATTATCGTTGCAGATAAATCTATCCATGAAATCTGGTATGTAAAACATTACGTGCCTATCATTATAGAACAATATGTATTTACTGCCAAAACAATATATCTTCATGATTCAGGATTAGACATAATAATAGGAAATAATTTTCTTAAACTATATCAACCATTTACTCAAAGAATTAAGAGTATAAGTCTAAAAGCTCCAAAAATGAAAAATCAAGAGTCAAAAATCGTTACCACCAAGATAATAACAAAAAATGAAGTATTAAGGACTGTCTTACAAAGACTTAAAAATAAGCTTGAATATATCCAAGTAGCCTACAGAATAGTTGAAGAAAAACTAGAAGAAGTCTGTAGTGAACACCCTTTAGATAATATAAAAAATACAAATTCAGAATTAATAGAAATTAAACTAAAAGATCCAAATATCAAAGTTAATGTCCCTAATAAAATACAATACTCAAAGAGATGTAGAAGAATTTCTAGTAGAATGTGGAGATTTACTCAGTAAAAATATTATTCGAGAAAGTAAAAGTCCGCATAGTGCTCCGGCATTCTATGTAGAAAATAATAATGAAATTAAAAGGGGAAAAAGACACATGGTAATAAATTACAAAAAACTCAATGAACACACTATAGGAGACAGTTATAAATTACCAAGAAAAGATTTTATTCTGGAACGATTAAAAAGACAAACTTGGTTCAGTAGCCTAGACGCTAAATCAGGATATTGGCAATTAAGGCTCCATGAAAATACAAAACCCTTAACAGCTTTTTCATGTCCACCACAAAAATATTATGAATGGAATGTGTTACCATTTGGATTTAAGCAAGCCCCAGGAATTTATCAGAGATTTATTGATAAAAATCTAGAAGGATTGGAAGATTTTTGTTTAGCATACATTGATGATATTATTATCTTTTCAAATAAAGATAGGATAGATCATGAAGAAAAACTAATAAAAGTTTTGGAAAGACTAAAAGAAAAAGGACTGGTAATTTCAAAAAAGAAATCTAAATTGTTAGTCAATGAAATTGAATATTTGGGAATGAAAATAAATAGTACAGGAGAAATAGAACTAACCACTAATGTTAAGGAAAAATTAGATAAATTTCCAGATAAAATGAAAAATAGAAAACAAATACAACGATTTTTAGGAAGTCTGAATTACATCAGTGAGCAAGGATTTCTAAAAAATTTAGCGAAGGAAAGAAAATACCTTCAGCAAAAGATATCAGATAAAATACCTTGGAAATGGGATAATAAGGATACAGATATAGTAAGATTCATGAAGGCCAGTTGTGATCATTTACCAAAATTATATAACCCATGCGATCGAGATTTTCTTATTGTTGAGACAGATGCATCAAAGGATACATGGGCAGGTTGCATGCTTGCAATACCAGAAGGCAAAAAGTTACTATCACTTGATCACTATGGCAATATACTCAGTAATGAATCGAATGATTCACACCATATCAGTAATGAATCGAACGATTCACCACTATCTCGACGCAGTAATGAATCAAATGATTCGAAACAATATGACTATACAATACCATTCAATACAGACAAATATCCAAGGAAGTTATGTAAATATATATCTGGAACATTCTCTTCTACTGAGAGAAACTACCCAATACATGAGCTAGAGACACTAGCTTGTCTTAGAACACTAAAAAAATGGAAAATAGAATTACTAACCAGTCGATTCGAACTACGAACCGACTCTAAATATGTTACAGGATTTTGGAGATACAAGCTGGATGCAGACATCAATAAAGGAAGACTCATTCGTTGGCAACAACAACTTCACTATTATCAACCATATCTAAAGTATATCAAGTCAACAGCCAATCCGTTAGCAGACACCCTTACAAGGGGGTGGAAGGAATAATCAAGCAAATGCAGCATCAGCAACAGCAGAAAGAAGAGCAGATACGTACCCTTGTAGTTCAGCTTTCTCAAAGGCGGGGGGAATTGGAGAAGATAAAAACCACCATCACCATTCTGCAAACACAAACTAAAAGCACTGCTCAACCACAAACTATTCTGCAACAACAAACTAATCAGCTACCACCTACAAAATGGGCAGACATGGTGGAAGAAGACGAGAAAAACGAAGAAGACGAAAGAAAATAAAAAAGGGAAAATGGTATGTCCTTTATGACGGACCTTTTCGAGGACTCTATAACAACTGGGCAATAGTATCTCACCATGTTACAGGATACAACATCAAACATCAATCATTTTCAACCAAAGAAGAAGCAGAGCAGGCATTAAGAGAATCATACAAGGCAATTGCTATGAAACAAAAGACAGAGTCAGCTACTCCACAACAAAGATTAGTGATGAAGATACCAAGCATCAGCATTAAGGATATTCCAACCACGAAGCAAAAGGAAGAAATCAATAGACCTACACTTCAAAAATTCCAACAATGCTGGGAGGATCTTCTCAATTACAAGGAAATTCATACTACCATGGGCTTCTATCCAACCTTTAAGGGAGGTCCAAGAGCAGTCATCATCACAGATAAAATCGCACCAACAACACTATTTGCTCTCCATCAATATGGATTAATCGACACAATATACATACAGAAGACTCATATCTTCGAAGAATTCCCAACAAAGTTCAAGATAGTCGTAAAAAGGTATCTAGACTCATTCGCCAAGGGTAGAGAAATCTATCTACGATACACATCCACCTATCCAATATTCAACAAGGAAGAAATGGTCGTGCCATCAAAAGCAATCATCAAAATGGGAGTATCTAATAGCAACTATCCAACCAGAGATGAATTAGAGACAGCCAGGATACCAGAGGACTATCAAGTCAAATCATTATATTCAGTAAGTCAGGCCCTATATTATCTTAACCCAACAGATAATATTAAAGTCAATTATACCAGCACCAACAAGATCATCATCAGCAATTCTAAAAATCAGATCACAGCGAAAGAATGGGGATTCATCACAGATCTAGCCAAGGATTTTATCAATCTAAAAGGAACGTTAGCCCCGATAACGTCAGAACAAAAACAACAACTTTGTGAATTATTACAGCTACACGAGGATCACATATGCACCCACTGTGCAGCAGATATAACTACCTCCACTAGTAGCAGTGATGAAATCAAAGAAATGTAATCCACCATGGGGAAGAAGACAATGCTTCAGGAATCAAACAAAGAAAAGAAAAGGCAACATCAACCAAGAAGAAGAAGACAACACTTCAGGAATCAAACAAAGAAAGTGACTAAAGATTCTTCTTTCTTTTTCTGATCAATAATGTAGCCCATAAGGCAAAAATGTGTGTACGGTGTGTTTGCTTTCTCTTTTAAGTGGAGAATGATGTAAGCACATATGTAAGCAGGCAAAGCCCCTGCATCTATAAATATGTACATCTGAACCTCATAAGGGGGCAGAGTAGAATAAAAGTTTGAGATTTCTCTCTCAAAAGACAAAGTGTAGTCTTGGTGCTTCGGCACAGAGCGTTTGAGATAATACTCTGGAGACGCTCATATCCACTATCACCTATCCATAAAAAACTATACACCAACCATTAACAACACAAAGAATTCTTCAACACCATTTTCAACGATCATAAGCAATCAGCCTCCCTCGCACTACACCATCATGGGGACGTTCAGTAGCAAGAAGTTGCATCAATCAACCTAAGCAACAATCGGGTATGTCGGATAACCCTAGTAGCAGTAACAGTTACTTTGATTATTTAAGTAAAAATGAGGAAGAAAATTATTTTCTAGATGGAATATTAGATGTCAAGAAAATTAAGGAACAAACTAATTTTACCTTATCAGAAAGGCAAATTTTTATTAATAAGTCTTTTTTATCCAAACTATTTGATAGGAAAATATAATTAAATATGGAAAAATGATAGGAGAAACGGCAGTACCAATAGAACAAACTAAGGGAGATTTCCTAATTCAAATAATAAATAGGGAACAAATTAGGAAAAAATTATCCAAGTTACAACAGGAAGAAAGAAATAAAATAGCTTATATTCACATTAGCACGATTCAAATCATTCTAAAATTTACTATGAAAACAGGGATAAGTGCACCTATAGAACTAGAAATAAGAGATGATCGACTCATCAATAGAGAAGAGAGTATTATTACAAAAGAAAAGGGAAATCTAGGAGTAGGTATAATCAAATTCGATATTAATCTACAACAAGGAATTAGTTTAACAGATGGGAATCTCGACTCTTCCATTATTATAAAGTATGAATTGAAAAGAAAAAATTTCATGAAAGAAAACAGTAAACCTTTTTCGGTAACATACCAAATAAACTATGCACTGACCAATAGTCATCATAGTCTAGCGTTTAAAGATAAGGAAGCCATCACCATAGAAGATTTATTCAAACCATTAATTCAATTAGAATCCCCTCTAAAAATAATAAAATCAAATTATGATCATCCAAGAATAAGTATAGATGAGAGAAGTTCTTCCATGAGATTAACCGATAAGCAAAAGGAAATGGAGAAAGAAGAAAACAAGGAAATAAAAAAACATAACTATACTTCATCAAAATGATAATACTAGTGAAATAAAAAAGTTACAAGAACTAATCGTAGAAATGAGTGAAAAATTGTAAAGATGCCTAACACTCATTACATAAATAAATTGATAGAAGGAATAGATGCAATAGACCTTACATCAGTAAGCGACATTAATACGGTTACGTTAGAATTATCTCACTTCGTATCAGATATTGTAGAAGAACAGATGTCTATCGGAAATTCAGAAACATTAGAGGAAGCCGTATCTAAAACTGAATTAATTACCGATATAATAACTAGTCTAAACAAAATAAAGCAGAAACTAGAAAATAGATAAACCAAAAACAATAAAATGAAAATTAACCACCTTTATTTGAGCCATTCCATGAAAGAAAAAGAAAGAATGAGACTTGTTGCAGAAAACAAGGAAAAGAAAGAATGATTAGATTCTTTAGTAGACTTTTTAAAAATAAAGAGACGATTGAGACTTTTGAAAAAACAAGACCTTTTGGTATGAAACAAAGAAATTTAGGAATTTGGAACCGTAGAATTATTGGTATCAGAGCCAATCGACCCAAACATAAAAATACAGAAACAAAAACTAAAATGGGGAAAGACCAAAAAGTGCAACCCGCTTCAACCCGAAGGGTTCACTTTGACACCTATAGTCAAAACGCATGCCTACTTAAAATTATGCTTTAGTCACCATTTTTGGCTCTGAACCCTCGTTTTTTTCTTTGCATCTCTTGACGTGTTTAATCATCATAACTGGACCACAACTCCTCCAAATTAAGCAAGGGGATTCACTAGGATGCTTTGGCTTAAAATACATGAAACACTACCAAAAGCGTATGAAAATGCTAAAAGCAATCCTAGAGCTACTAAACGTACGATGAGTGATTATCAAGCAAATGCAAGTGACTATGCCACTAATAATGTGAAAACTATGCGGTTTTAGCCATAAAAATGGAGTAGAAATAGTACTTTCCACGTGTCATCAATGATTGCAGAAGACGCAAGTAAAACTCGCATTATAGTTTTGTTTATGCAATTTCTCTCCAATATTTAAAAGATCCCTATGATTTTCTTATGGCTAGATCCCTATGAGTTAATCATTGCAGGAACAGGTTCTTTATTGTACAAAGGGACTTTCATACCAAAGAAAACCACCCAACCTTGGCAGTGTTTGTTCGGAATTTCTTCCAAACCCTCTTATAGTAAATCTCTCAATTGGTGCTCCATCCCTCAGTAGTCCTCTACTCGACTTAGAAACAAATACAGAAATCATGTCCCTACTTTTCAATAGTTTCTGCTAGATCAAGAAACCTGAGCTGCCCGACTAAAAAATTCACTCCCCTCAAATGATATTCCCACATCCATGCTACCCATTAGGAGGCTTTCTTCAACAAGATGGACCCTAAAAAATGACAAAATATTTTCTAACTAAAAATATGAATAAAAAAATATAGTCAATATGGATTTGGTTGAATTTATTTTATATTAAATATTAGGGCTAATACCATTGGAAAACCCAAACTATTAATTTTGTGTCATTTGTGTCCAAAAGTATTCTATATGACATTTGTGTCCTAAACTATTTTTCCGTTAGAGTTGACTAGCGTTGACCGTTAGTTTTTAACAGAAAGTCTAGTCAGCGCTTATGTGGCATATGACATGAAATTTTAATATTAATTTTTATTTACTTTTCCATATAATAAAAAATTATAAATTATAAATTACAAAATAAAAAATCACACCTCTCACGGCCCCCTTCTACGCCTCCAACCTCTCCCCTTTCTCCTTCCTCTTCAATTTTCCTCCAGGACTCACAAGCTTTCACTAACATAGATTACATACAGCAACCAAAAACAAGAAAAACAAACATCACCCAGTTCTGCAAACGAGGACCAAGAACTGCTAACCATCTGACAATCCAACCCCAATCATTCACATGTAGCCAAGAAACGAAAAGATACAATCATACAAACAACCCTGGCGATTCATGGTAGTAGGGTCATGTCGAGCCCAGAAAACATCGAGCAGGGCGTCGTAGCTACACTCCTTAAGATCAAACTGAATCCTAACCACCTCAGAGTTGCTTGTAGTACCGGTGCAGATGTCCTCGTAGGTAGGATTGTGGAGGAGACCCTGAGTATACCTGTCCTCCGTCTTTGTAATGGCGAAAACACTCTGAAACACCAATTCGACTCCCCAGAAAGCACTCAACTCCGAATTGGGCGAACTGCTGGCCGGGGGCGGGGGAATCGTCGTCGTGGCTCTGGGGAATCGTCGGGTCCATGGCGGACGGGTCGGGGGACCGGACGCCGAACCCGAGCTTGTTGAGGATGTTCATAGTGGTGGACTGGGAACGGGAGATGGGTCTGGAAGAGAGAGGCTTTGAGGTGGGAAGAGGAATACCTCAAAACCTAATTTCAGATCCACTAATTTCTGGAGATGCAAATTTTGGGCAAACGAGCAAAGTGGGTCCTCCGATTGAGCTCAAAGTCGCAGGGGATTCCTTCAGCGCCGACGTCAGGAATCAACGTTGGGATTCGAAGGGTCGGATTCGGCGGAGGATGGTGGAAGTGTGGGGGAAGAAGATTTTTGTTAAATTTTTTTTTTACTTTTTATTTATTTATTTTCATAAATAATATGATGTGTCAGCTGACGTGGCCGCCACATATGTGCCACGTAACCAACAGTCAACATTTCACTGATGACCGTTAGGTCAACCATTGTCTTTAACGCTCAACAAAATTGCTAGGACATAAATGACACACAACAACCATACGTCATGAAAGAAATTAAGGTTTTCTGAAAAAATGGTAAGGATAATATCAAGGTTGTCAACTCAATTTCAACTGTTGGGCCGATTGATGAAGTTGGTTAAGGGTTAGCGGTTGAAATAGTTTAGCACAATTTTAGGGTGCGCCTATGGTGCCTTGCAAGTCCACGTAACTCGCAAAATTTACTCAACCTATTCCTATCTACGGTCGACCGAATTCCCTAAGGTGGTCACTCTGATGAAAAGTCACGGTCGACCATTAAAATATAGCGGTCGACCGTTTTAAGTTAAGTTGATGCATTAATGGTGGACTGTAAACGTAAGGAGGTCGACCACTTGTTGGCAGTCATTACCGAAATGGTCGACCATTTACAAAAAGTGGTTGACTAGTTAGAAGAGTAAAGTTCTCCATTTATCCATCCCCCTTTGGCGTGAAACGAATAGCAGTTGTGTTGGTTTAGCGGTCGACCGCATATAGGAAAATCAGCGTATGACCTTCAACTTTTTTGCTTACGTATGTCGATGTGGTGGTTCGTTTGCTCGTACAAATTACGTTTGAAACTAGCAGAATCGGTCCTAAATCATGATAGCAAGGACCCATAACTTCATAACATAACAACTTAACACACTAACAAGAAATACAATAAAACACACCTCATAATTGTTCACATACCTAAAATCGAAAACCACATAATATCTATCCGCAATCAAAGTTGTTCAAACCAAATCGTCTTTAAGACTTAAGAATAAAAAAACATAATCTAAAATCATGGAGTTCCTACACCTCTCCCCTCTCTTACTCATCCGCATTTTCCTCATTGGTGGTGCTAGCATTATGGTAGTCAGATGTGGTGGGATGCATGTATCTTCACTGAAAGATCGGAACTCATCTCGCATCTCTGTTACGGCCACCTGCAGTGTGCTCATCTGGGTGGTCATCTGCCTCATGTAGTCGTATATGACATCCATGCGGTCCCATATACACCATCATCCGACAACTTGTTACGAATTTTTTCGATCTTCATGTTACTGCGTACCATTTTTAGCACCATATTTTTATTGAGATTAATTAACATGGTACAATATTAATAACTAGGTTATGACAAGTAAATAAAAATTACGGATCTTACCCAAAATATATTTGGCAAATACCACACATTTCGCTCTTTATTCTCATGTTTTTTTCAGACATTGTTAGTGGCCTTGCACACAAACCACTACCTATAAACCAACAATCAACAACAAAATCCTCATAAATTATAACAGAAATAATGCACAATTCATACCAAAGTCGTAGCAGTATAGTACTTACGGATGAGCAAATCCAGCTACTTTCGTTAATGACCGAACTCAAATATTGTCGTTCTACATTTTCGTGGACAAAGTCAGTAACGACCAAACTGCAAAATAACATAAATGTCAATTGTGACTTACACAGTATTTGTCTACCTATTCAGAGACAAGGTAGACCTATTCAGGAGAACGTGGTCGACCTCATTGTTTAAATGGTCGACCACATATACTATTTTAAAAAAATAATACTTCTCTTACTTGTCCCATTTCGTGTCTCCTGTCTTCTCTTTAGTAACAACATAAAACAAATCTTCAACTTGATTTGCAGATTTTTTATAAGTCATTCTAGGCCCTCCACTTTCTTGACCTACAAGTCAGAGTTAAAATTAAAGCTACATATGAAAACAAACACACATTCCGAATTTAGTAGATCAATATGTAACGTAAAGTTACTTAGTGCTTTTCGAAAGGACTCTTAGATTCATCCTCGTAGCTATCAGCACTAAATAATCCTTTTATTACTAAATGATCCTTTTTTGGAGTGGTGTAGGAGTCACTTTCATATCGAGGTTTCTTGTACTTAGGAGAGGAACCATTGGTGCCAAACGTTGTTTCACTCTGTCAATCATATAAACAAAAAAAATTAGCACTAATGATAGTAATACTAATATCTTCACTCACATATGAATATACTTTCACCTTTTTCTTTTGGTCTTTCAATAAATCTTCTATACTCTGGCAGCAATTTGCAGAGTCATCATGTTCTTCCTCCTCTTTATCAAAGTCAAATTTCTTTTTGGTACCATCTCTTCCTCCCTTCTCCATTCGTTCTGCACGTATTTCTTTGATAGCACCTTCTAGCCTCTCAAAACCATCATGCATCATCCCACTCATATCTATCAATCGAACTAACAACTGCTCCTGTGTATCACGCATGGAATTCTGATATTCATTGAATTCTTTTAGACAAACCACCATATGCTCTTTTGTGGCTTTCAACACTTTCATAATTTCACCCTCAACGTGTTGCTGTTTCTCATCATGCGCCATCGTCTAATCAATTTGCAGAAAAATTCAAATCAGAATTCAACTTCAATTTTGTACAAATGATCAACAACAGAGACGTGGTCGTCCTGAAATATTACTAGGTCGACCTTAAAGAAATAATTTGTTACTACCACAACCAATTAGGTCGACCTTTGATCTTCCTAGGTCGACCTTCGAGTAGAATAATACAAATTTACCAACAAAAACATGTGTAATACTACCACAAACAATTGATCGGTCGACCAGACACATTGACAGGCCGACCTTTTAAGCACAACAAAGTCTTATAAACAAAGCCAAAGTCGACATTCTGGATAAACAAACAACAAAAACGGTCGACCATGATAAGAATTGGGTTGGCCTATTGGGTTTGATCTTCTTTACCTCGCAAGAGCAGAAGTCCGAGTGTTGTGCCCTAAATTCAAGTTCTCGCAATCATCAAACCGAGGCCGACCTAGATCACCAAAATGTTTCTATGTAGAAACTCGCTTTTGACTACATTGATGTCTATAGAAAGGACTTTCAATGTAGAAGAGTCCATTCATGTGGTATTTGATTAATCTGTTAGCAAGTGTGCATAAATCATCGATGAAGATGATGATTTTGGACTCAATAATATTCCAAACCATGGTCAAAATACAAGTACAACTGATGTCTCAGAAAAGATTGGAACAGAGGAGGAAAATGAAGGAGAGTAGTCAAAAGCTCAAGCTCCTCCCCACATACAAAAGCAATATCCTATTTCACAAGTTATTGGAGAGTTAAATCAAGGTATGCTCACTCGTGCTAAAGCTGTTGTTGTGCATACTGCTTTCTTGTCTTTACTAGAACCAAAACTATTGATGAAGCTTTAGAAAATAAATTTTGGATAGAAGCCATGCAAGATGAGCTTGGTCGTTTTGAAAGAATCAGAGTATGGGATCTGGTTCCCAAACCAGAAAACAAAATAATTTTGGGAACAAGATGGGTTTGGAAAAACAAATCAGATGAGTTAGGAAATATAACCAAAAATAAATCAAGACTGGTAGTTCAAGGGTATAGTTAGGAAGAAGGCATAGATTTCGATGTAACTTTTGCTCAAATGGCCAGATTAGAAGCAATCACACTTCTATGTGCATTTGTTGTTGCAAAAGAATTTAAACTATATCGAATGGATGTGAAAAGTGTGTTTTTAAATGGAGACTTACAAGAGGAAGTGTATGTGTCACAACCTCCACGGTTTGAAAATCATTAATTTCCAAATCATGTTTATAAACTAAATAAAGCTAACTATAGTGTAAAATAGGCTCCTAGAGCTTGGTATGAAAAGCTTAGTAGCTTTCTGATTCAAGATGGTTATCATCAAGGTTCAGTAGATAAAACCCTATTTATTAAAAATGTAAAAAAACATTTGATTTTGGTTCAAGTTTACGTAGATGATATCATCTTTAGGTCATCAAGTGAACAATCATGTAAAAGCTTTGAAAACACTATGAAGGGGGTCTTTGAAATGAAACTTATGGGAGAGATGAACTTTTTCTTAGGCCTGCAAGTTAAACAATTAGATCAAGGCATTTACATTTGTCAAACAAAGTACCTAATGTACATGCTCAAAAGATTTGGCTTAAGTAATCTCAAAATTGCATCTACACCAATGGGATATACAGTTAAGTTAACAAAAGATGAAGGAAGCACTCCAATAAATGAAAAGATGTATCGTGGGATGATAGGTGCCTTGCTCTATTTGAAGGCCAGTAGATCAAACATAATGTATATCATTTGTGTTTGTGCACGTTTTAAGAGTTGCCCTAAAGAAAGCCGTCTCTCTACTGTAAAATGAAATTTTAGATGTTTCTTGGAAATACTACATTAGGACTGTGGTATTCTAGAATCTCTAGTTTAGAGCTTCTGAGCTACACAGATTTAGACTATGCTGGTAGTCTAGTTGACAGGAAAAGCACCTCGGGTTCATGCCATTTTCTTGGGTCCTCTCTCATCTCTTGAGCTAGCAAGAAGCAGAGCTTGTAGCATTGTATGTTGCTGCAATTCTGTGTTGTACACAATTACTTTGGTTGAAGCATCAACTTCGTGATTATGGTCTTAGTTTAGGTAACCTTCCCATATTTTGCGATAATACGAGTGCAATTAACATGTACAAAAATCCAGTCCAACACTCTCATACGAAACATATTGACATACGCTTCCACTTTATTCGAGATCTTGTCAGGAAAAGAAAATTCACTTGGAATTTATAGGGACAGACCTTTAGTGGGCTGACATCTTCACTAAACTTCTTGGAGTTGACAAGTTCATTCCGTTCGAAATGGACTAGTTCTTTTCTTTCTAGATGAAATCGAATCCTTGTGATTACTTGATTCTCGGCAGCCAAGGAGCCGCTACGATATACGAAGACATAAAACGAAAAAAGTGGTGACAAAGCATGTCGTATATCTGCACTTAGTAAACCGATGAATGTAGGAGGACCAATTGGCCCTGTTGTAACAGTCAAGGTAAGGGATTAGGCCGACGAGGTTGACGATGAAGGCTTTGGTGATGAGAGGGGTTCCGATGAGGAGGTGATTAGGGTTTTTTCGGTAGCATGGTGTTTATAGGGAGATACGATTAGTGATTTGGAGTTGGCTTGTTGTTAATGCGGGCTAAGAGAAGAAAGCTAATAGAGGAATGAGAATAATGATGCATGCTTACAATGTGAGGAAAACTATTGATGGAATAAATTGGGGCGCGATTTCACAATCTTTCCTCTAGCATAAGCCATATAATTTTCACAATCTAACATTGATGCTTACATTTTATTCATAAAGTTGGTTGTGCTCTTTGTCTTCCAATTTTTGAGGTCCACATTGCGAGGAAATTTGTAAAAAACAAATAGGGTTGGGGGATGAGATTGTTTGTTTTAAGTTCGAGAGTTTTTTTAGGATGGACGTGGTCAATTTGGGTGAGAGAAACAATGATATTTATAGTCAATTAATTTTTGGTTTAATTGTTAGTCCACTATTCAATTATCAGTTACATCGGAAGCCATTTTAGCCTACCGGTAACCGCACCACTAACTTATAATTGATTTATAATATAACCCTTAACCATTGCTTATCAATTAGTGTAATAGTTCAACCACTAACCGGCTAAACGTATATCACTCGTACGAATATGAAATCGACTAATATCACGTTTCGGTCCTTTTTTTTTTACAAAAGATAATCATATATATTGATCAGAAAAAAAGATAATTACATTCTGGAATTTAACTAGGCCATAAAATCAAAGAAGCGACTCGTAGTCGGGTACAATTGAAGGGCCTTCCTAGCCACCAAATGGGCTACCCTATTAATATGCCAACCTACAAATAACACATTGAACCCACTCTGATTTGTTAAGCAATGCACAACTTCCTCAAGAAGGGCTCCAATCCGGCTATCCCTGGTATAAGACCGATTGATTTTATCAATAACCACCTTGGCGTCACCTTAAAATCGCACTTCTGTAAACCCAGACGCTAGACACCAAAGAATTGCCTCCCAAAGAGAGAGCACCTAAGCAACCAAAGGATCATCAATCCCGACAAATTGAACCCCTTTAGCCAAAAGAACCTCCCCCGCCTAATTCATAATAATCATCCCTCCTGCCGAATGAAAAGCATGTTTGGTTGCCCCATCCCACCTACAGATAATTGGACAAGGGAGGAAAACCCCCCGAGGTTGTTCGGGTGGGGCAGGCAACCACTGTTTGCCTTCAAAGACAACCCAATTTCGTGAATGCCAGATTCTCCAAAGGACAGCAGCAACTGCCATAAACAGTTGAGGTTGGTGAATGAGCATCATCAACTTTTTCAGGAATAGTGGAAAAGTGTGTCGAGGCATCCCTTGACTAAGATATTCCAATCCCGCATAGTCTCACAAGGCCCTAGCCACTGGGAAATCAAGGAACAAATGTTTCATTGTCTCTGATTCCTCCCAGCAAACCGGACAACAAGGATGGACCTAGACATCCTTCTCAATTAGAGCTTCGGTCGTAGGGAGTAGACGAGTGAAAATTTGCCACAGAAAAATTCTTAACAAAGTCTCTTTCGTTGCGCAAGATATAGTCCTCTGTTTCCGTCCCTAAAGACGAGCTAGCAACTTTTCTTCCAAGTAGTGAAACGTATCCATTTTTTATCGGGTGATCAGGGTAGGGCATCCCAGATATTTATCCGGGACCCCAACAGCCCCCACACCCAGGATTTGAGCAAGGAACTCTTGATCGGGTATTGCGATATTTCTACTAAAGCAAACCGCTGACTTTGCCAAGTTAATCCTTTTGCCACTAAGTTCCTCATATTCATTTAACACCGTGATCAAATTCTCACTTTCCTGAAGAGATACTCTAAGGAATAAATACAAATCATCGGCTTAAAAACAAATGCGAGATTCGAGGAGATCAGGGGGCGACCTTGACCCCTTCCAGTTTCCCATCCGAAATAGCTTTCTGCAGGAGGGCTGCAAAACCCTCTGTGAAAATAAAAAAAAAAGGAGGGGAGAGAGCGGATCCCTCTAACGGATTCCTCTTGAGGGTGTGATGAAACCCTTTGGTGTGCCATTCATTAGGACCAAAAAAGATGTTAATCTAAGAATTTCATGCACCCAGCATCGCCTGATCGAGTTATACCCCATCTTGTCCAAAACCACCAGGAGAAAGGGCCATTGGGCTCTATCATAGGCCTTTTCCATATCAACCTTTAGATCCATGCACCCTTTCTTTCCCCGCGTTTTGATTTTCAAGTAGTGCATTAACTCATGTCCAAGAAGGACATTCTCCACAATTTGCCGCTCCCAAATGAAAGCATTTTGGCCTTCCAAAATAATATGTGACAACAGGCAGGCCAGTCTTTCCGACATAATTTTGGTTATGATCTTATAGATAACTAACATAGACTAATAGGTCTGAGTTGCCTCATGGTCTCTCACGTTCCCATCAAACACATGAGAAATCAAATTATAAAAAGTAAACAAGAAATATGAATAAAACCCTCTATATTATAATTAATTTAAAGTAAATAGTCTTTGACCACTTTAGGATCACAATCTAAACAACAAGAGCATAGCTAAGCATAAGGATGAAGAAAGACATAAACATGAGTGGAGAGACGTGATTCGGGCCTATTGTACAACTTTTACCCCCATTTTTACTTGACGTTTGTGACATTTGAACTCCTAAAAGGTTGGTTTTACGCTAGGTTTCGTGTGTTTCGGATCCTAACAGGTGAAACCAACCTCGGAGTCGAAAGTTGGAAGAAATGGATCGAAGAACTAGCAAAGAGGAGGAATTAGTTTCACTTCATGGCATGGCATTGGAGTTCATGGTCTCTAAGGCCGTGAACTGGAGCTACAAAACGTGAACAGTGAGGTGTCCAGGAGGGTTCCAGAGGTTACTGACGACCAGGCAGTTCACTGTCTCTAAGACCGTGAACTTTGAGTGCAAACCGTAAACCCTGGATAGTGAAGCGGTACGTTTTGTTGACGACACTGAGTTCACGGATGCGTTTAGGTGTTCACGGCCGTGAACTGGAAGGCAGTGAACTCAACTCGATTTGGGTTTAGGTGTTCCCGTCACTTCGTAGTGGATGTGGAGCGATGCTCCATTGTCGGGAGGACCGAGCCCTTCCCAGTGGCTACACTTTATAACCAACAGTGGGTACTTCACGAGAGGGGCATCGAGTACCTTGATGGGATTCGACCTTCAGGAGCCACGCACCCAGCAGTTGACGCGGCTCTAGTGGAGTCAGATTTAGGGTTTCCACCCCTAGAGCAGCCACCTGCTCGAGCTCCCGGCCGCCGCCGGCGTCCCGCGCTCCAGCGCCATGTACCACCACCAGCAACAACTTCATCATCCAGAACAGCCAGTGATCCCCTCATCTAGAGGATGGATCGCCTAGAGACCCATGTTGTGGGAGTGACTTCCCGCCTCGACTGGCAGAATGACCTTCTTGAGCAGATTGCTCGTTGCTAGGGCCTCCTCCCAGATGAGGACGGCGGACCTTCCTCCTGAGAGAGGTAGCTGATGAGGGAGATATGAGGCAAAGCCGATTCCTTTCGTCGCACTACTCCACTTGGAACTCTGAACTCTTTTTTTTATTTTTCTTTCTTTTATTTTCATTATGTGTGTGTGACTATAAACTACTACTATCATATTGTGTTGCGTAATAACCTCGCCTCGAGCGAGTCGGATTTGTGCTTGTGTGTGTGTTTTTTGTCTTCTCCTTGAAGCTTCAAGTCTCCTACCCCGCAAACGATTCCAACTTTCACTCACCAAGTAAAGAGGTAACATCGTTCTATACCCATATCTTACGCCATTGAGGGCAATGTCGAGCTTAAGTGTGTGGGTGGGGGGGTGGGGGGGGGGGGGGGGGGTAGTTTATTCTTATGCTTGTGTGATTGTGATTGATGCTTGGAGCCTTGATGTATGCCCAAAGTTGAAAATTTTGAGGGCTCCAAGCAATGTTTGCATGATCAAAGTGGCCGGATTGTGGGAGAATCTCATGTTTATTGGCATTAACCTTGAATTGTTGCATGTGATCGAGTGCATCCTATGATGATGATTGAGAGGTGCATTAGGATAGTGAAAAGGTTTAGTTCTCATGTGTGCAAAAATGAATGGATGTTTTGACTCGATTACTTGTTGATTACAATTGCCATGCATGTTGCTTTGTGAATTGGAATAGATGGTTGGGTGACTAGGTAGCTGTAGACACCACTTTTTGTCCAGGTTAAAACATATTTAATTAAATAAAATTTAGTTTGTGTTTGAGATTTGCAATAGCAAATTTCTAGCTAAAACGTATTTATAGTATTTGGGATAGATCGTCACTTTGCCTCAAATTAGATTAGCAATAGCAAATCTTGCTTGGTACAATTAATAGTGATGAGTTTATCGTATTAGACATGAATCCAATTTTGTTTGCATTGCTTATTGGCCATCTCATTAAGTCGTTGGGTGGGCCTTGATTTCTAAATAATAAAACAAAGTCATCACAACATTATTAAGATAAATACGATGCTAATTATAATAAATTACATTGCTAAATTTCTATTTCACTATGTACAACAACAAAAATTAGGCCCCAAGTCAAAGCCTACAGCATAAGCCCAGTCCAAAGTCAAGTCCAGTGAACTCTGACCCAACCGAAGTCGGTTCTGGTGCAAGCTCATTCAACTCTAGCCAGCCCAAGTCAAAACCCAAACCTAGATGTAACAGACTGACCTAATCAAACTCAGACAAAAGCAATCAAGGTCGAACCGAACTAGTTGAACCAGACAAAGCCCAGCCCATTCAACTAAAATACAAAACAATATAATATAGCTATTATCCAATCAAAATGCCCCACTAAAGAGCCCAACGGTGACCTCGTATATTATAAAACAGGAGCTTCTCTTCTTCCCCAAGCTTCCGACGGGGAGACTCTCGGCTCTTCTTCTTCTTCCATCTATTCCCTAAGGCCAGTCGACTTTGTTCTGCTGCTGTTCTTCTTCTTCTTCCCCAATTTCCTTGCTTCTCAGAACAAACAAAAACACTCTTCTTTCCTCTTTTTTCGACAGAAAGAGGCAAAAGAAATAAAAAACACTCTTCCTTACACAGTACCTCCTTTCTTTGACTTCTTCTTGCTCCTTTCTTCTTCTTGAGCTGGGGAACTCTCTTCCCATTCTTTTTCTTTTCTCAGACAGAAAGACAAACAAGGAGGATAGACTTCTTCTTCCTCCTTCGGTTTCTTCTTTTCTCCCTAAACGAAACTCTACCAAAAAATACACACTTCTCTTCCTTCCTTGTACACACAGACCACTTCCACTTCTTCTTCTTCTTCTTCTTCTTCTTCTTCTTCTTCTTCTTCTTCCCTTGGTCTCCTGAAAACACAACAACAATCTCTCCTCAGTAATAACTGTAAAACCAACAGAATACAGAGAAAAAACCAATAAAACTTCATTTCTTTCCTTCTCCTCTACCCAACACTATACCAACAACATAAACAAAATGAAAAGAAGCTGAGTAGAAGCATAAAAGGAAAAAGACAGCAGCTACAACTCTGGAGAAAAAGAGGGCAGAACCGACAACAAACATCAACACAATAAGGTTGGTAGAGAAATTAAATTACCCAATTATTGTCATTCATCATCATCATTGTTATCATCACTAGTCTCTACTTCTCATTTTCTCAATATTCAGTTTCAATAGAGAGAAATTTTACAATGCTATATAGTATTGGTGCTATAGGGATATGCATTTATGGTACAACTTAAAATTGTACATTTACGTTATGGTACAACTTTAGATTGTATCTATATTTTTTGTACAAATTCTTTTATGGTACAACTTGAACTTGTACCTTTATGTGGTACAACTTCAAGTTGTAAAGTTGTACCATAACATAATGATACAAATTGCTTTATGGTACAACCTAAACTTATACATTTAATGTTATGGTACAACTTTAAATTGTACATTAAAGCACCAATACTATATAGCATAGTAGAAGTGCTCTTCAATAGAAGCTCTAAACTCTTACCATTCCAAATTACCTCAAGCATCCAAACATCATCCCTTTTATTTTGACAAAACCAGAAACCAGCCATCCATACCACGTTATCATTTTGACCCCAAAAATCGAAGTTGATATTCTAAAACCAACTTTTGTACTTAGTTTCCGTGTGTTTAGATTTGTTCCTTTCAATATTTCTATCCATCTACTCTACTTTTTCCTTTAAGCTATTTACAACTAGTGTTTATTAACATGAACTAAATAAACTAACCGAGTTCTTTAGCAATTTTGGGTCGGTCTTTTTAACTAAAATCATCATTTGCCACTGCCTACTACTACCACAACACAAAATTCCAAATTCAAATCCGCAATCGACACCAACCAATTTTCACAGTTAAACCTGCCCACAAATCCTCAGAATCAAACTAAACACTTCCCTTACAAACTCACAATCATCATTCACGCAAACACATCTATTTCAGATTTCTATTCAGTCTAGTATTAAAGGATACGCATCACCTAAATTTTCTTCTCTAAAACCTGTACTAAATAAAGGAAATATTAAAATTTCAAACCCAAAACACAAATAAACCTAAGAAGAAATCACAGAAATCTCAGCAATAAAAGTTCACTTTGTCATCGTCGTCCTCGCCGTCGGCGGAACTAAGAGTCGCCGGTGGCAGCCTCCTTACTATTGTCGTCTCTTTCCTTTGGCAAAAGTAAAACATTAAAAAAAATTCATCAGAATCTTAACGAAAACTGATAAAAAAATATTCAATCAACCAAAAACAAAAAAAGACCTCACCATTTCGTCGCGCCGGCGACATTACCAGTGCTCGTCGGCGGCGACCTTCTCTCGATTGTTTTGCTCCTCCCTCTTCCATCTCCACCAGGAAACCTAAAAATCCAGAAATAAAAAATTATCAGAAATCAAATTAAAATAAAAACCCAGCAAAATCGAACCTCGAAATCAACATGCAACCTAGAAAAAAGCTTACCTGCATTATTCTTTTCGCCGGCGAACATCTGGTCACATTCGTCGCCGATCTACTTGCCGTCAGGCTCTCTTGATCGCCTCCGCAAAGAGGAGAAGAGATGGTGTTTTGGGACGGGACACAGAGGAGAAGGATCGAATCGATCGAGAGAAGGAAAAGGAACGGGTTGGGGTGTTTCGTTTTCCCCCTAGTTTTACTCGATTTCCAGAAGAAGAAAAAAAAAGAGAGACATGAGAAGGGGAAGGAGTGAGTGAAGTGGCGCTTAGGCAAAGTTCAATGGAACACCCCAAATTCGGGGGCCTTTGTCCCAAAATTTGGGGGATTGATCCTCATTTTCTCTTCTTTTAGTCCAATATTTCAATTTCTATATTTAGGGATTTTCATTTTTCCAGTTTTTCTATTTACTTAAAAATGTATTTATCGTAGCCTTAATATAATTTGTTCATATTAATTTTTGTATAGTTCGTCATCATTTTTAAATACAAAATTTTCGATAGAATTTTGTTAAATTCAGAGTCCGAATTTTTTTGGCAAAAATTTAAGTACCTAATTTGGGTTTAGACACAACACTTGAAAATGATTAATCTAATTAAATCCCTAACTAATCCCCTAATTATACTCCAATTAACCCCTAAAATCTTAAAAAGAAAAAGAAAAACCACGTGGCGGGCTTTGGGGAGTCTCTATATTTGGGGATCCCTCATTTCCACCCCAAATTTGGGGATCATTTTGCATATCTCCCCCAAATATAGAGACTCCTCCATTTATTGAGACTCCATTGAAACTAACTTTTCCCCAAATATAGAGACTCCCCCATTTATAGAGGCTCTATTGGACTTGGCCTTAGAGGAGCTGATTTTAGGGCTTCGGTTGAGATTAGGAGAGGTTACTCGAACCCTAAAAAGAAAAAAATACTCCTCCAATTTCCATTTAACTACCCGCTGCCACCTTCCTTTTGAAAAAACGAAAAGCCTAAAAATTGCAACCTTCTTTGTCCGGGGAACGGATCAGGTCAGTAACTCTATGGTCAGTAACCATGAGTAACCTGTGCACATCAGCATGACATCAATATTCTCTCTCTCATGGAAAGTCTTTTATCTATTCTCATTTAATCTTTAACGGACGATTTCTCTCACGTTTTAAGTCAAAATTTATTTTTTTTGCACAGATAAATCAGATTAAATGTGCTCTTTAAAATGATATCCACATTGATATATTCTTAGTACAAAAAAAATTGAATAATATTTTACCAGTCATTACTATATGGTATGCTCTTATTTAATACCATATGGTAAGAAAGCGTATCATGATGGTATGTAGTTGGTAAAAAACAAGTTTCTCGAAATATATTGAAAATTGATCTCATTTTGTAGAGCACTACGAACTCGTTCCATCTGTACAAAAAAAATTGAAATCCGAGTCAGAACGAAGAAGATAAGAACCGATTAAGAAAATTAGGAAAAATAAAATGTTTTTAATTGACAACTCTTAGATCTGAATTTTCTGGATCCACTTAGATCCAAATGTCCAGATTAATTACTCATAGATCAGTAACCATCGGTAATATGCAAGCCCTTTTTCCGAACTCCTTACCTCGAGTTCCCAGCAAATTAACATATCGACCAGTAGAACTACTAACATTCTAGATTCCTTAATTTACCCATTCCATCTTGTTAATTAACATTCCATATATATGTAAAACCTCGTAATTGAATCTTACAGATTACTTTATTCACATCATTAGTTTCCACCTTTGTTTACATCATTAGTTTCCTTTATATAATTATACTTTATGTATATTTGCTAAAAAATCTCGGTACGTAAATCATGGTCAATAGATTGTGATATGGGGTCGGTTAGCATGCTAACCTCTCTTAGGCGTTGGAAAAATGATACCCCCCTAGTAAATTAAATACAACTATAATTAATACACAATAATTAATACACACATTAATTACACTTTAGGAATTAAATGTATCATATTAATTAGGAATTCTCTCACTATTAAATACACATTAGGAATTAAATACACACATTAAATACACATTAGGAATTCTCTCACTATATTTGATTTTTCTTTTTTCAGCAGTCTCCGACCACCAGACTTCCTCCGACCGCCACACTTCTCCGGTGAAAATCCCATCGGCAGACTCCCTCCGACCACCTCCAAAAAATATACCACTGCACTGATACGGTGTACCACTGTACTGGTACGTTGTACCACTGTAGTGGTACAAATACCATTAATGTGGTGTATTTAATGCTTACTTTGTATTTAATAACAGAACATTTATTATATTTACTTTCATTAATACTTGTCAATAATTAATGAAAAATTGACCAATTAAAAGGGGGGTGTCAAAAAACCAACCCCTTAAGGGGTTAGCATGATAACCCGTCCCATTGTGATATCAATAAGACTCCCTCCAATTATCAAAATTTATTTTCTAAAAATTTTAAATTATTATCTTAATAACGATCAATAGAACGTATTAAGATCACATCATAAATTACTAAAAAAAAAATCGAACTACGTGGACTTTGATCCCGACTACTCGGGTACGTAGGCAACCAATAGGTTTCAAGTCCAACTAATCAAAAAATTTCTCCACATCTTAACGTGTGAGACTCAACATTTAAAATATCTCAATTTTAACCAAACTACGTGGACTTTGATCCCAACTACTCGTGTACGTAGACAACTAATGGGTTCTAGTCCAACTAACACATTTTATCCCCTTAAATCATAATTATCAAATTACATCTCTTAAATAGCAAAATTAATTATTATCTTAATGACGTATCAATAGAAACATGTTAAGATCCTCTTTTCAAAACCTATCAACTTAATTGAACTACGTGGACTTTGATCCCGACTACTCGGGTACGTAGGCAACCAATAGGTTCGAGTCCAACTAACCTAAACCCTTTTCATCCCCAGTATGTACGACAATAGACGTAAAATCCAACTAATCAAAAGACCTTTTTTAATTTTGAGAATTACGTCAATAGACGTATGATCAAATTGTACCTTATTATATACCTTATTAATTCAATCCTATAATTAAAACGTATATGAAGCCAAATAGTAAAACACCCGACCCTTAAAAAGACTTATCGATTTAAGTAGTACCAATTTTTAGGCATTGTGGGGTGTGAATACACTTCCCCACACGTAACATACTCCCGAATCCAAATTTCTAAAATTTCGCTGACCAAATATCATTTTCGACCCAAAGATCGAGATCGAACCAAAAGGTGTTCGATCCACCACAACTAAGATTGATGGCGACTCCGAGCATCACGCGATGGATCCCTCGATCTCGAGGGGCGGTTGCGACATTAGCGACTCCGCTGGGGACTTTTGAGAGTCAAGCTACATATTTCAATTAGGTAAGTTTTTCTTACTATCTTTAATATGTTGAGTGTTTACTTTCTTATTGTGCATCTCTATTCCCAAGCTCTTCTTTAGAAATTGAAGAGAGTACCGTGACTTCTACAATAGTAGGGGAATAACGTGAAACTTTCTAACGAAGTTGAACTCAAATCTAAGGTTGATTTGAGGTATCTAACCAAACTCGAAAGGGTTTTTGGTCGGGTACAACTTGGAAGCCAATTCCCTATAAGCTCACACCATCATATAGTTAGCTTAGAGCTACCCAAAGATACCCAAAACTTATCCCAAATCCACCTTGAACCTCTTCGTTAAGCCTTTCAAAAAACCTAGGTTGTTAAAAGTAGGAGGACATGTTTATGTTGTTGATTATTGTTTTTTTATTACAATATGACTTGTGCTTTATTGATTATTCATGAATGACGTGAGTAGATGCTCTACAAAAATTTCTTAAAAGTCATGACACCAGCAATCTTTTGTTAATTCATTAGTCACTCATCCAAGACCAATCATGAAGGTAAATCTACAAGCATTTGTGCATCCCCAAAAAAATTCACTTAGCATGAATATCATACATTCATCTCATCTACCAATAGGTAACATTTTAAGGACGACAAATTTTCTAAAAATGGATCATCCACAAGGATAGTCAAGCCCTCAAGTACTCGATCAGATCCAAAGCCGATCTCATTAAAGAGATGATCCAGAGGGAATCGAGCAACATCAAAGTAAAGTTGACGATACCCGGAGAAATGAAAAGGGAATTTAGCATGATCATTTTGGCGATGTGTCATTCGAGGACAAAAATCTGCGCCAACTACACGAAAAAGGAGTATCAAGTGACAAGTCTCCCATCACAGCCTCACAGAACATGCATGATCAAAAGATATCAAAGAATCAAAGCACAATAATCCACAAGTTTCAGAACAACAAAAAGAATGTGAGGGCAACACTATGTTAAGAGAGAAAGGGGATTCATTGAAAGAGAGTTGGAACTATCAATCCCAAAACACTCAAGCTCACCCATATGTTGCAACTACACAGTAATGCCGCTGCCTTGAGGAGTAATCGTCCAACCAAAGATCCATACACCACTATTGCAGCAAAGTGATAATCGAGATCAAAGCATCCCAAGACAACGAAAGAGGGAATGTCATCCCATTCCCATCACATGTATCGAGACTTTTCCAAGATACTGCAAAATCATTTGATTGCCCCTATATCATGTGAACTTATGTTGCCTCTATACCCAAGTAGATAGAAACCATAGCAATATTATGCTTACCACTATGAGTAGTGAGAGAGTCCATTGAGGAGGGAAAAATAATGAAGATCAGGGTGTAACAAATGCTGGCAGTGACATTCGAGGAGAAGCCAAATCGTCCAAATATCAGGAACAATCCACTGTCCAATCATGGAGATCAGTACTCATACCATGACGAGAGTCTTGATGAGAGGATGATGTTGACCCTCATATGCAAATAAATATCAAGATTCTACACCTCTCAACTATGTATCATCATTTGCATACATCATGAATAATAAAATGTTATTTGCATTTCCACTGATTTGGAACATTGTGTAACTACTACCAATCTCGATATAGGACTTCGCATCAATGGGGTTTTTTTTGTTATAAAAAAATCTGCCAAATTTTTAAAAAAAATAATTTAAAATCGACTTTCTTTCTCTATGATTGGGAACCATAAAAATTCATTTCATGTTCTCAAGTTAAGCCATGAGATTTTCACTTTAAGCAAATATAAACATCCCACTGGTGTTGAGTGATTATCAGCACCCCACTGGTGTCGAGAATTTGATAACCCACTAATGTTGAGACTTGAGAGTGTGCATACTTTACTAGAGTTGAGAGCAAAACACCTCACTAGTGTCCACAAATTATGAGTGTCGGTAGTCAAAAGGGTGTAACGAGGATACGATATCAGACTACTTGTAGAATCTCATCACTAGCATAGCCAACCTTTTGCTAGCAACATTTCCAAGAAGAAATGGACTCAAATAGTGTAATGGAGGATCAACATCAGTGATCTTTCTTCTTCGGAAAAGGAACGGTCGATTAGCCTAGCCAAAAAGAATGACCACTCACATCAAGTCGATGCAAAAAAATCAAAAGCGTCAAATTGTGCGACTTACATATTGGGTATCCCCTACTTGAGCACTTGAAGTCATAATCACTTAGACTCGTCACAACAAAATTAGCTACCTTCACTAAAAGGCCAGAAAGATAATTTCAGGTTTACCTCACTGGAGTGCATTGTTCATCATCTCAATAGACAATATCTATACACTCGAATGATGTTAGTCATGAAATCAATCAGGTGTCCAAACCAAAGGCTATTTGCTCGCCAAATTTGAAGAAGTTATGCAAGAAGATCTATAATCCACCCAATGATCATCCTCATTATCCATCACTTGAACTCTTGCTTTCGAGATAAACAAGAACCACCATGAAAATAGAGCTTCAACATCCATACTTGCGCCACACAAGGGTCTTCGAAATTCGTTATTTTGATTACCAACGAGAAGTAGAAGTTGGTATAATACCAAATCCTCATTTATCCATCATTTCAAGGTCAAACAAGGACCTCAACAAGTGATAAGATTTCTAGAATCAAACTTCCACACAAATTACCTCAGTTACTTCCCTAGTCGAGCTTACCCCTCAAAATTAAAATTTCAAGACAAGGGGGCAACTTGAGTCAAGATACGTCCACAAAGATACCCAAGATGAGCCACCATTCTCGAGGAAAATGAGAACTCCTCAACAAGGATCTCCTTTTATCCATCAGTGAGTCTCGTACTTTGGGGGCAAGCCAAAACCCCTCAACGGGAAACCTTGCACAACTAAGGATGAGAATCTCATTTTTTTCTCTTCACCTATACGAGGAAAAGCAAGATTTCCAGAACACAAGGACTCTTACAGTTAGAGTCATATAAGGCAATAGCCTTCTTTCAGGAAAGTTCAAAAACTTTCACGACAAGACCATACAGAAATCACCAAAATCCTCCATGATCAAACCTATATCTAAAGAACATTTTCCCATCAACATGGTGACGAGAATCTTGATAGTATCCGAAGTATCATAAACTCAAAGCAACCATAGGAACGAGTAAGAGTGAAATTGAGAGCGAGAGCTTATGAATATTCTCATGGCTTGGCTTTTGAAATAAGAAACAAATTTCAAACAATGTGGTGACTAACACAAGAGAAACATTTTTCTTCAAATTGCACACACTTCCCTCAAGGTTTCTATTATACTTTCTCAAAGGAGATTTTTTCCCAAACATTGTTTGCATTCATCTTAAGTCAAGATTGGTAAAGGTCGCACTTTGTTCAGAAGAAGCTAAGGCAAATAACGTATTCTCGGGGGCAAAATGGTGCCACCCAGAAAGAAAAAAGAAAGTGGCTCTCTCAACTCTTAAACTCAAGAATGTCAGAGATCTTGAATTATTTTTTTCAAGCTACCCAACCAGTCAGTCAAACCATCCTTGAGCGACTTGACTAGTAAATATATCAGAAATCAAATTAAAATCAAAACCCAGCAAAATCGAACCTCGAAATCAACATGCAACCTAGGAAAAAAGCTTACCTGCGTTGTTCTTTTCGTCGACGAACATCTGGTCACATTCGTCGCCGATCTACCTGCTGTTAGGCTCTCTTGATCGCCTCGACAAAGAGGAGAAAAGATGGTGTTTTGGGACGGGACACAGAGGAGAAGGATCAAATCGATTGAGAGAAGGAAAAGGAAAGGGTTGGGGTGTTTCGTTTTCCCCTAGTTTTGCTCGATTTCCAGAAGAAGAAAACAAACGAGAGAGATGAAAAGGGGAAGGAGTGAGTGAAGCGGCACTTAGGGGAGCTGATTTTAGGGTTTCAGGTTGAGATTAGGAGAGGTTACTCGAACCGTAAAAGGACAAAAATACTCCTCCAATTTCCATTTAACTACCCGCCGCCGCCATTTTTTTGAAAAAACAAAACGCGAAAAAATTGCAACCTTCTTTGTCTGAACTCCCGACCGCGAGTTCCCAGCTCACCAAATTAACATATCGACCAATAGAACTACGAACTTTTTAGATTCTTTAATTTACCCATTCCTTCTTGTTAATTAACATACCTAATATGTAAAACCTCGTAATTGAATCTTACAAATTACTTTATTTACATGATTAGATTCCACCTTTGTTTACATCATTAGTTTCCATTATATAATTATACTTTATGTATATTTGCTAAAAAATTTCGGTACGTAAATCTTGGTCAATAGATCGTGATATCAATAAGACTCCCTCCAATTATCAAAATTCATTTTCTAAAACTTTTAAATTTTATCACCTCAAATCATAATTATCAGATTACATTTCTTAAATAAGAAAATTAATTATTATCTTAATGACGTATCAATAGAAACGTGTTAAGATCCTCTTTTCAAAACCTATCAACTTAATCAAACTACGTGGACTTTGATCCCGACTACTCAGGTACGTAGGCAACCAATAGGTTCGAGTCCAACTAACCTAAACCTTTTTCATCCCCAGTATGTAAGTCAATAGACGTAAAATCCAACTAATCAAAAGCCCTTTCTTTAATTTTGAGAATTACGTCAATAGATGTATGATCAAATAGTACCTTATTATATACCTAATTAATTCAATCCTACAATAAAATATGGGAATGAAGCCAAATAGTAAAACACCCGACCCTTAAAAAAACTTATCGATTTAAGTAGTACCAATTTTTGGGCGTTGTGGGGTGTGAATACACTTTCCCACACGTAACCAGACTCCCGAATCCAAATTTCTAAAATTTCGCTGACAAAATATCGGTTTCGACCCTAAGGTCGAGACCGAACCAAAAGGTCTTTGATCCACCACAACTAAGATCGATGGCAACTCCGAGCATTATGCGTTGGATCCCCCGATCTCGAGGGGCGGTTGCGACAATAGCCATGTGAGTTTTGAGCAGATCGTTTTATTCTTGTGTGCTTATATCCCTCTTACCATGGCGAGTAACATCACAATTGTCACTAGTGAGTATGATGAATGCATAGGATTAGTCCACGCCCAAATGTTGATTGTCCCAAAATGATTTATCCACTAGTTAACCCCTTTGAGCCTTGTGACTGCGGGGGTCGTTCTCATGTTAGGAGCTTGTTGTTCGTGAGCTTAATGGTGTTGATAGAACGACCCCTATCCTTTTTTCGTTTCTATACATGTGTCGTCCTTGTGTCCCGGAGCTCTCGCTTTGGAGCTCCATTGAGGTTCTACATAGGAGGATTTTGTGCGGTTCTTGCTAGAAACGAAAGTGAAAGGGAGAGTAGTGTTGGGGTGAGTTCTTAAAAAGAGAGTATTGATCGTTACAAGTAAAGTGGCAAGTGTTTTTCTCTCTAGTACCCTCCCATCAAAAAGAAAAAGAAAGAGAAAGGAAGAAAAAGGAAACGAAAAAGAGGTGATAAAACATGGTAAATAAAGTAGAGAGTGCCACAAAGAATCAAAGAGTATGCTTTAGGAGAGGTTTCTTGGCACTCAAGCCATTGAAACCTCCACATTGCCTTAGAACTCCTTCACTACCAAGGTGAAAAGTGATAGCAAGAGTAGACCGAGGAAGAGCGCCTAAAGGAAGTTCATGGTGGGTGATAGTTTTGAGGAAGAAGCAAGGTTTTTGGTCGATGCCGGTGGCCATTGTTTGTAGGGAAGGTTCTTGATCGAAACCATAGAACCTTCGGGTTTAGGGTGAAGATGTAGGACCTCATGATGTGTTTGCCACCACCCAAAAGGATTTTCCCCATGTCCAAGACCATTACCAGTCATTTGAAGCCGTGTCTAAGACCTCCGGACAAGCTAGTGATGACAACAATTCCGTGAACTCTAGCATTTAGAGGTTGCCGCCGTGGGGTTGAGACGATAGGGCTGAGTGTTGATGATTGTGAAATTTTTTTGCACCAAAAGGTCTCGACCCAACTGATCAAGAGAGTGAGTGATTCATTCTTATTTTGCATGTCATATCATACCCCGGTGAGGACCTTTGTTGCCCATCCGTTTGTTCCTTTGACTTGAACTCTATGCATGCCTAGTTGTATTTGATGAGTGATCTTGTTGAGACAAGTTGAGAACTTTTCATTCCCCCTTTTATAGTAGCCTCGAATGTCGTTTGTGGTGGATGTCGGTATTGCTTGCAACGGTCCTTGTGTTAATTACCAATAGCCACTTGAGATTCGCCACTTTGTGCCCTTTGATTTATCCCCAAAGCATTTTGTTAGGTTGAGAGATTACCTTGTGTGAAATGGTTTGCTTGGGGACAAGCAAACGTCTAAGTGTGGGGGAGTGATTCGGGCCTAATTCTACAACTTTTACCGCCGTTTCCACATGACGTTTGTGACATTTGAAATCCTAAAAGGTTGGTTTTACGCTAGGTTTCTTGTGTTTCAGTGTGTTTAAGATCCTAACAGGTGAAACCAACCCAGGAGTCGAAATTTGGAAGAAATGGATCGAAGGACGGGCAAAGGAGGAATCAGCTGCACTTCACAGCCTGACATTGGAGTTCACGGTCTTTAAGGTCATGAAATAGAGCTACAAACCGTGAACAACGAGGTGTCCAGGAGGGTTCTACAAGTTACTGACGACCGGGTAGACCGTGAACTTCGAGTGAAGACCGTGAACCTAGAGAGTGAAATACTGCGTTTGTTGACGACACTGAGTTCACGGACGCATTTAGGTGTTCACGGACGTGAACTGAAATACCGTGAACTCAGCTCAATCTGGGTTTAAGTGTGAAGCTGAAAGGAAGAAGAAAGGGGAGAGAGACCTAGAGTTTCAGATTTTAGAGTGAGAAAGTGACGAACCAAGGAAGAGGAAAAGCTAGGGTTTGATCTCCAAGCAAGGATTTGGGATTTCTACAGCACAAGGAGCAAGGCTTACATCTTCATGATAATTTTCCTTTCCCTCTTTTGTGTTTTCCCTTCTCTTAGCATGAAGTAGTCCATTTCTTTCACTTGGGTGTTTGTAAACCCTAGTTTCAATTATGTAAACACTTGTATGAATTGAATGATTTGTGTGTGGATGTGTTTTAATGTGAATGTGGAGGTATTATTCATAAATGATTGTGTTGTGTGAAAACCTATCAATCTAATTGCCATTCTAACCTGGTTGAGAGAGAACCTCCTTAGCTTAGGAGACTGTTTTAGAGTTGGGGTTTCCTTGGGAATTCTATGCCTCCTATTCTATGTTAGATAAAGGAAAACCCTCCTAATTTGTATTAAGCACTTAGTGTTTGGTTGTGTGTGGCCATCTGAACTCCAATTGAAAGGTGGAGTCTAACCACTCCTTAGACGATAAGTTAAGAGGGTCACGTTAGTGGCTTGGATCGCATCCTATTCCTCAACCTAGGGTCTAAGAGGGTAACTTCGGTTGCTTGTTAGACTCCCCTGCGGTACATGACCCCCCTAACCACACACGGTCGTTCAAGTCATCGAGTCATAATTTTTAGCTTGGGGGAGCAACACCCGGGTGAAGCTTTCTCAACTGGAGTCAAATCCATTTTACCTTTGCAAAGTAATTTAGTTTTAAACCTTTGTTTTCACCAAAATTGATTCGCTAGATAATGTTTCAAAGTGTCAAAGTAGCGGTACATGGACCGGCCCTGGTCGATATTTAAACATACTTGGCATGTATTGCACCCATCTAAGGTTTATACTTGGACCTTAGGTGAGATTTTATTGTGATAGTCAGGTAGTGAGTCAAGACGGTCACCATAGTTGATAAGACCATGGAGGGGTCAACGGATACTATCACATGTGGCAGATGACATGGCGCCAACAAGGTGACAACATGGAGGTTGCACATGTGGTGTGTATGAAAGACTAGTAACATAGAGATGCTCCTAGGATTCTACACCTAAATGAGAGATTAATGGTGCACTTATGAGTCACATAATGGGTGACATTTATAGAGTGCATAATAGGGGGACTTAATGGGTGTATTGATGTATAGGGACATTATGAGGGACATTGATGCCTTGTATGAGGAGAGGCCTATATAAGGAGCCATCTCCCTCACTTGTAACTCATTCCATCATTTTTTAGAGTAATACACACTAGAGAGTTCTCTCATCTTCTTTGTCTTGTTCTTGCTTTCTTCACTTGCTTGTGAGTTTGAGAGAAGGCTTCTTAGTTCTCTAACAGAATTGAGAGAGAAGGTCGCACGACCGAGAGTAAGGCCATGACAAGTAGTATCAAAGCCCGGTTTGGCTCAGTGCTAGCAAGGCAGAAGTAATAGCCAAAAGAAAAGGAAGAGTCTCACCAAAAATGTCAGGATCAGATGGTGGCGTCACTGATACTGAGAAGCAACGTGGAAGAGATCCCAATAAAAGCTCGAGGCCAAAAGGTACGTCGAGCACTCGTGATCCTTTGACGTCTCTAGAGAAGCGAGTCTCTAGAATGGAGGTGAAGCTTTCCGAAGATGTCCTCACCATCGAGGATTTGGGAACTAACTTCGCCCAAGTCCAAATGGATGTTCAAGGAATGAATGCTCGGTTGTCGAGCTTGGAGATCGGGCATGATGGGCTGCGAGAAAAGCTTGTGGCCCTCATCAACAACACCATCTCCGAGTCCATGAGCAACACAATTGAAGTTGTGAAAGAGCGTGCCCAGGCTGAGCTGGTCGGCGTGAAGGAGGAAATTGCATACCTCAAGAGTGAGGTCACTCTCGTGAAGAGGGTCATAGTTAGCGGACCAGCCACGGTGCAATCCGTCCCACGTGCTAACGTTCCAAGACCGAAGAACTTTGGAGGTTCAAGGAACGTGAGGGAGTTAGAGATCTTTCTTTGGAGTCTTGAATAGTATTTCAAGGCATCCGACATCAAAGAGGATGAGGTAAAACTTTGTATCACTCCACTTTACTTTGTCGATATTGCTATGGTGTGGTGGAGGCGACGTGAAGCAAACGTCGAGAAGGGTAGTGTGATGGTAACGTGAGATGATTTCAAGAGAGAAATCAAGAGGCATTTCTATCCGGAGAACATGAAGTTTGAAGCCCGTTCAAGGTTGAGAAAACTCACCTAGAGGGGTGAAATTCGAGAATATGTGAAGGAATTCTTGGAGCTGCTTCTAGAGATCCCGGACATCACGTACAAGGAGGCCATGCACGACTTTCTTGATGGGCTGCAACCGTGGGCAAGATGGAGATGCAACGTCGAGGAGTGCAAGACCTTGCAACAGCCATGGCCACGGCGAAGTCTTTTGTTGAGTACAAAAGGAAAGAGAGCAACAACAAAGAGAAGAGTTCAAAGCCTAACAAGGATGGAGAACAACAACGGCCTTTCAAGGAGGGCACTAGCACTCAACAACAACATGCTGGCCCAAGCAAAGGGGGTAAGTACGAACCAAAACCCGTATCTTGTTTCCTTTGCGATGGACCACATCGAGTGCAAGATTGCCTAAGGAAGGAGAGATTGGCAGCCATGGAGGCTCAAGATGAAGAGCCCAAGGCGGTGGAGGCCAAGATTGGCTCAATCCGCAAGCTTGGCGCTGTGAAGACCGACGTCAAGGAGAGCAAGCGTGGGAGGTGCTACGTTCTGGCCCAATTCATGCAAGGTGAGTCAAAAGCCTTGGTCGATACCGGTGCCACGGACAACTTCCTTCGCATCGAGGAGGCTGACCGGCTGGGTATTGCCTATGAGAAAGAGCAAGGGTTGCTCAAAATGATCAACTCAGAGTTAATCCTGATCCATGGAGTTGCGCACAAAGTGTCAGTGAAGCTTGACGAGTGGGAAGGTCTAATCGACTTTTCTGTCATCACCATGAACGATCACCCTGTCATCCTCAGTATCAACTTCCTCGACAAGGAGGAAGTGCTCTTGAAGCCCAACTCCAACACCATGTGCTTGGAGAAGGGAGGGAAGTTCTATGCGGTCCATCTCTTAAGAGAAGATGGCCCCCATAGTGCTTTGTCCACTATGCCGGTATTGAAGAGTTCAAGAAGAATGAGCCAACATTTCTTGTGTCCTTAAAGATGGAGGAAGAAGGAGGCTCGACGGGAATCACAACTCCCATCATCGAAGGTGTGCTTGAAGAATTCGATGATGTGATGCCATCAGAGTTGCCCAAGAAGCTGCCACCAAGAAGAAAGGTGGACCATAAGATCAAGTTGGAGCTAGGAGCGAAGCCCCCTTCGCGAGCACCATACCGCATGGCCCCACCAGAGTTGGAAGAGTTGCGGAGGCAGCTCAAGGACTTGTTGGACGCAGGCTACATGTGGCCATCGAAATAACCTTTTGGAGCACCAGTGTTGTTCCAAAAGAAGAAGGAAGGGTCGTTGCACATGTGCATCGACTATAGAGCCATCAATAAGTTGACGGTGAAGAACAAGTGGTTGATTCCCAACATTGCCGACTTGTTCGACTAGCTTGGAGATGCGATGTGGTTCGCTAGCTTGATCTTCGATCGGGCTACTATCAAGTGCGGATAGTAGAGCGCGACGAGCCAAAGACAGCTTGTGTGACGAGATATGGCTCTTACGAGTTTCTTGCGATGCCATTCGGTCTCACCAACGCACCAACCACATTTTTCACTTTGATGAATCAAGTGTTCGAGTCATTCTTGGATCGATTCCTCGTAGTGTACTTGGATGACATCGTAGTGTATAGCAAAACACTCGATGAGCATTCCGAGCACCTACGCCAAGTCTTCCAAGTCCTTCGCGACAACGAGTTGTATGTCAAGAGGGAGAAGTGCACTTTTGCAGCCATGGAGGTTCCTTTCTTGGGGCACATCATTGGTGGAGGCAAGTTGAAGATGGATGGAGCGAAGGTGGAGGCAATCCAACAATGGGAGCCGCCTACGAAGGTGCCAGAGTTGAAATCATTCCTCGGCCTTGCAAATTACTATCGAAGGTTCATCAATGGCTACTCCAACATTGCAGCACCCTTGACGGATCTTTTGAAGAAGAACAAGGCTTGGTATTGGTCGGAAAGGTGCCAAGAAGGATTCGAGGCCTTGAAGGCAGCGATGATGAAGGAGCCCGTGCTCGTGCTCCCCAACCCGACGTTGGCCTACGAAGTGCAGACCGATGCATCCGACTTCGCAATTGGTGGTGTTTTGATGCGAGATGGGCATCGCATTACCTTCGAGAGTCGGAAGCTCAACGAGATGGAGAGGCAATACACAATCCAAAAGAAGGAGATGATGGTCGTGGTGCATTGCTTGCGCACAAGGAGGCACTACTTGTTGGGGCAAAGTTTGTAGTGAAGACGGACAACGTGACAACGAGCTACTTTCTCACGCAAAAGAAGCTCAACACTAAGCAAGCGAGGTGACAAGACTTTTTGGCCGAGTTCGACTTCTTCATGGAGTACAATCCAGGCAAGACGAATTCCGTTACAGATGCTCTTAGCTGCAAGTGTGCAGCCGCAAGCATCAGCCAGCCCGTGTTTCCTTTGAAGGAACAGATGGTTGAAGGCCTTGGCCATGACCCCTTCACCAAAACCGTAACGGAGTACATCGAGCAAGGTAAGACTCGACAGTTTTGGATGAAGGATGGGCTCATCATGACCAAGGGAGTGTCATGATTCCAAGTGGGCTGGTCATCCCGGCATCGAAAAGACGCAAGCGCTCATCGAAGAAACATACTTCTGGACGCATATGAGAGACGACGTGGAGATGTATGTGAAACCTTGTCTTGTGTGCCAATAAGACAAGATGGAGCAGAGAAGCCCGACAGGCTTGCTAGAGCCCTTGCCCACGCCTCAACGACCATGTGAGAGCGTAAGCATGGACTTCATCATCGGACTTCCCAAAATAGATGGATGCAGTTGCATCATGGTTGTGGTAGTCAGGTTCTCGAAGTATGGAATGTTCATCCCTGTGCCAAAAGGCATGACGGCGGAGGATGCAACACGACTATTCTTCAAGAACGTGGTCTAGTATTGGCACATTCTTAGCAACATCGTGAGCGACAGAGATGGGCGCTTCACGGGCCGATTTTGGCGAGAGTTGCTCAAGATCACGGGCTCCGACTTGAACTTCTCAACGGCATTTCATCCGCAAAGCGACGGACAGACGGTGCGGGTGTACACCTTGTTGGAGGTGTACTTAAGGCACTATGTGAGTGCTAACTAGCGAGATTGGGTGAAGTTGATGGACACGACACAATTCTCCTACAACTTGCACCGTAACGAGTCAACCAACACGAGTCCATTCGAATTGGCGATGGGGCAGCAGCCATTGACGCCTACGACGGTGGCAACAGGGTATAGAGGCAACAGTCCGGCAATCTACAAGTTCGCTAAAGGATGACACGAGAAGATGGAGATGGCCAAGTCTTACTTAGCCCGCGCTAGTAAGAATATGAAGAAATGGGCGGACAAGAAGAGGTGGCACTTGGAGTTCGAAGAGAGAGACATGGTGACGGTGAAGTTCTACCCTCACCGCTTCAAGCATCTCAAGAACTTGCATAAAGGACTGCTTCGCCGCTATGAAGGATCATTCCCGGTCGTGAAGAGGATTGGCAAGGTGGCATAAAAGGTGGAGGTGTCGTCGCACTTAGAGATCCATCCTATCTTTCATGTGAGTTAACTCAAGGCTTTTCACGAAGACAAGGAGGACGAGCAGCGAAGAGAGTCGCATCGAGCACCAACACTCGTCACCAAAACACACGACCATGAAGTCGAAGAGGTCATGGCGCGTCGTGTCATTCCTCGTCGTGGTGTACATCCAAACTTCGTGGAATACTTGGTCAAGTGGCGCAACCTTCCGGAGAGCGAGGCAACTTGGGAGAAAGAGCTCACGCTTTGGAAGAACAAGGACTTGATCAAGACTTTCCATCAAGAGGACTCGACGAGGGCGTCACAAGCATAGGTGGGGGAGGATGTCACATGTGGCAGACGACATGGCGCCAACAAGGTGACAACACGCTACACATGTGGCATGTATGGAAAACTAGTAGAATAAAGATGCTCCTAGGATTCTCCACCTAAATGAGAGCTTAATGGTGCACTTATGAGTCACATAATGGGTGACATTTATAGAGTGCATAACGAAGGGACTTAATTGTTGTATTGATTATCGGGGACATTGATGCCTTGTATGAGGAGAGGCCTATATAAGGAGTCATCTCCCTCATTTGTAACTCATTCCATCATTTTTTAGAGTAATACACAATAGAGAGTTGTCTCATCTTCTTTGTCTTGTTCTTGCTTTCTTTGTTTGCTTGTGAGTTTGAGAGAAGACCGCTTAGTTCTCTAACAGAATTGAGAGTTAAGGCCGCACGCCCGAGAGTAAGACCGTGACACTACCCTTAGACAGTCGATAGTTCTTATTATTCTTCTTCTTCCTTCTGTTTCAAAATTTCACTAGGGGTCGTTTGGAAGTTGTGATTGTTAAATATATATATATTGTTGAGAATGCATGTATAATATTATACATGTATTATCGAATTTGATGCATTGTAGAATACAACGTTTGGTATGTGTGATTGTGTATGTCGCATCAGCTAAAAGCTGAGACAAAACAATCTCAACTCAACTATCTCTACAATCACAACTAAAAGTTGAGATATAACAATCACTCAAAATGAGTGATAGTTTCTGTAACATTATAGAAACAATCCATGCATTGTTTCTGCTAAAAACAAAAAAAACGATGCATTGTAAACAATACATGCATAATGACAATCTCAACAAAACAATCGCAATTTCCAAACGATCCCTTAGAGTGAACATTTTGATTTCTTACCCAAGAATAAAAGTGGGTGAAAGGTCATGAAAACCTATTATAAATATGTATTTATAGGCTTCTCATTAGGGCTTTCTTCTCCCAAACCGGCTTCTTGTGTTCGTCCTAAAATTAGCGTTAGGACTAATAGTGAAGAAGCCGACATGACATTCTTGTATCAATCATAACAATCGGTGGTTTGGATGCATAAATCGCGTAATGAAATCCGTGCTCCTACCACGCCCCTTTATTAGTCTCTCTAGGGCCTTGAGATGCAAGCAAGTAAATATCGAATATTTAATT